CCCCCCCCCCAGGTGTCACCTTTTTCTTTATATGGAGGGGGCATTTCAGGAAATGTAGAGTTTGTGTCGTGGAAGGGAGCACGACAAAACTCTTGGCCCGCCCAGGGCGGCACCAACACTAGCTTCGTCACTGTCAGCTCCAAATTTGGTTACCAGGCATGGGCGCCCGCAGAAAACGTTCGGGGGGGGGGGCAAAAAAATTGATTAACTTTCCAGGGTGGGGGGGTTAAAATTTTTTTAGTAAAGTTTTAATGTAATTTTAATTTACTTAAGCGTATTTGTATGGTGAACGAACGGACATGAAATCAGCTTAGTTACTTTCTCTTTATTTTCTCTTTACTTTTATAAATTTTTGTTTTGTTCGCTGACGAAGGCTTTCTGCCGACACGTTCGCTGTTTTGTTGCGTTTATTTTTTCAGGTTTAACCATACTCTTGTTTTACTTACTACCGCAAAGAAATGTAGTTCTATGAATTGGGAATAAATACAACAAGAGCAAAGAAAGGATTACACTTTTAGCTCGTTTTATACTTTTAACTCGTATCATTATAATATTTTATACTATTTATTTATGTTAAAAATTTAGTTACTACCAAGATAAAGTCAAAATGAATTCCAGTGTATTTCCAGTGTATAGCGCTGTTTGGTTGAGCGGATTGATACAACGGATAGTTTTTTTCCCTCCCCTTCATGTTTTCCCCCCTCCTGGCCTATGTTATGTTTTGTCGGCCTACATTCATAGGAGGTATGGTTATTGTGGCAGTCGCGAAGACCTTGGGGATTTTATGTATGTTAATGTTTTTACACAGTTGTTTAGGAGTGTTGTGATAATGTTGGACTTATTAATTCAGATTCATCGGATGGTTCTCCAAGACAGCCCCTGAAGTCAGAAGGGATGGGACAGAACACCGCTACCTGTGTTCTCGTCTGTGTAATATGGATTTTAAATCTCTGTAACGGTACGACCATACCCCATACTTGTTTACTATTATTGCTACTAAAGCTGTTATAGTTTCATAGCGAACCACTTGGGAATTGTCTTTAATAAAGATGTTGAAATCGTTTGCCCTTCACTGTGTTGTAATAGCAATAACATTTTTGAACAACCCTGCGCGTGTCATGAATTCAAATACCCTTCTTGAAAACTGAATTAAAATCGGCTAACTGTTCTGACTGGACAGGAGCGAACATCAAAAGATTTGCCGACGGCCATGTTGGTTAACTTAATGGAGTAGGCGCTAACCGCGACCGACAAGCCTCGTTAGCATTGTATTACGATCCAATTTATAATGCGGCCAAACTAGAAGGCAGTTATTTAAGTCGTAGACGTAGGCAAGCCTATCTTAGACTTAGACAATGTTAATAGTGAATGATATGAAACCAGGAATGGAATGCAGTATAATACAACGGAACGAGGTCACATGACCCCTAATTTTCTGACCTCAATTCGGGTTAATGCTTAACAAAAATTACCCCCCTCCTCCCGACTGGTGCATTGTCCAGGATTAAAAAAAGGGGTTGGGGGGTACTTATTAAAAGGCGTGAGTTTAAAAAATAGGTTGTTATTAAATTAAAAGGTGTGGGTTTAAATCAGCTCACAATCAATCACATTCACATCCCTGAAAATCTAAGAATATAATTATAAAAATAAATGAAATATAATAATATCATTATAATTAGATTTAGTTTAAGTTTAGTGAATCAATTAGTCATAGTCAGAATAGTCTGTATACTATAATAACTTATAATTATAAGTCTCTATAATTATAAGTCATAGTCATAGTAATTAATTGACCAACTTTTCATTTCACCGGCCTATTTTCAAACAAAGGCATTTTTTATAAATTATAATCAGTTTCATAATTTATTTATTATAACTTTTTCCAAATATAAAGTAACCTTAAAATACTTAAATTAACAGTTTAGGTAAGCTGTGTGGTAAATTAAGAGGGTGATTTTCTCTAAACATCTAAATCTAGTAGATGATCTACAATTAATTTATATTTATTTTTGTCCACAAATTGTGATCCTTGTGTGAAATTATGAATTATATTTATAAACTAGCCGATATACCCGCCATTTGCCTGGATAGCGTGTGGAATAAAGGAACTTCAACTGCCTTATAATTGACATTAAATTTAAGCACTGTGTACAAAAAAACACAAGCTTTAGTAAAAATTATGATAATAAATCTGTCTACTATAAAAACACATTTATAATATCTTGTGTAAACCTTTCAGTGGGTTCTGCTGGATTTCGTTTGGGTTCTGCTGGATTTGGTTAACGTTAATATAAGCTTTTATATTTCTTTATATATCCCCTTAGAACTATATAGAAATTTCTGGAACATTCTAGATTAAATTTAATATCTTCCTCGAAACGTTTAGACAATAATTTTCTAAGTAATTATTTTTAAACACCAAAAATTATACAAGTAAATGCACTGCTATAGCTATAATACATTTAAGTTGAAAGAGGGGGCCCCATTGAGGCCCATTCGATAATTGTGCAGAATTAGTTTTGCATGTGTATGTGTACTAAATTTGATCAAGATCCATATATTCATGTAGGAGTATTTGTTTGTCTTTTTATTTATATAGCTCATATAGGAAAAAATGACATTTGGGCCCACGGGCCCCAAACAGAATGTTATAAAAAGTTCATAACCCCCCAGTATTTCATTGTGGATAATGATGGATATATGTGCCAAGTTTGGTCAAGATCCATCAATCCTTGTTAAAGCCTTTGTGGAACAAACAGATAGACAAACAAATTTTCACTTTTATATATATACTTGCCAATATACCCTGCATGGCCCGGGATTGCATTAGGACCCCGATCATGGTGAGAGCCCGATCCCATGGGACCCCAATTTCATTCTGACTGCGATCCCGGCGTAATTCCGTTTCCCTGTGGGAATCCCGTTTTCTTGTGGCTCCAGATCCATCAATCTACATAGAACCTATAGCGTTGTCTAAGCATTGTGATATTTATATAGCATATATAAGGAAAACTGAAATGGGGCCCCCACCGGTCCCAAAGGATTGGATATTATGAGTTATTTATTGAATTTGAGTATGGATAATCAAGTGTATGTGTATTAAGTTTGGTATAGATTCATGCATTCATGTAGGGGTATTTGTTGTTAATTTTATTTAAATAGCTTATATATGAAAAAACAACATTTTGGGCCCCCCGGCCCCAAACAGATTGTTATAAAAAGTTCATAACCCCTTAAGAGTTCCTTCCAGATAATGATGGATATATGTGCCAAGTTTGGTCAAGATCCATCAATCCATGTTCACTTTTATATATATGCTATGATATGCTAACTATAATTATCAAGGCTTCTGAATCTGGTTACTTTCTTTATTCTGTTAAATTGACCCTTTCATAATGAAAAGGTACTTAACATTTTATATGTTTGCAAACCACTCTTTACAATTACTGAGGTCTGGGCCCTTAGTGCAGGAAGTTTTACCCTCATTACCTCAGGATTTTAATACAAAATAAATAATAATATATAAAATGAATAAGGAGTCTCAAAATTATAGCCTGCATGGCTACATTATCAACATGTCCTGTCATCCATGTTAGCTGCACAATTATTTATGCTATTTATGCTATACATAGTAAAATAGCAACTAGAAAACAACACCTTAATAACGATTGGGCCAAATAATTATCATGATTTGTAGTTTTAAGTTTGAGACCCTTAGATTAAATGAAGTGATTTTTATTCATGAATTGATGCTGCTTTAGAAATTCATTGAAGTACTAAAAAATTTAGTTTTTTTTATCATGCATAGTATGATAATAAATGTACATACATTTTGCAGTTGCACTTAAAGAGGATCATCATTCTAATCAGCTAGTCACCCTTACAATAAAATTTTCATGTCACTTGAGCTCCTAAGTCTAAGTACACTATCAAATTGTTCATTGAACATGCTATGGGTTGATGCCCAAAGAAATCAGTCCTTATCTGTCAACGTTGTTTACCTAAATACTCAAGTGTGTGTGGGGGAGGGTAATTATTGGAAATTTACTAATTGCATTTATTCGATAAACAAAATTTAAGTAAATATTTTTTCTGTCTTCTTCTCTGTCTGTAAATTTTTAACAATTGTAGAGTTATAATTTATAATTATTTCTTAATTGCTCTTAGTCTGCCTTATTTTGTTTGTGGTCTTCGTTACTGGTAGTCTCCCTTACTTGCTAGACCCTAGTTTCACATTTTAATTGGTTTCAGTTTAGTGTCTGTTTCCTCTGTAAATTTATTTTTTGTATGTTGTTCCGTCTGTAAATGTGTTTTTTTTTATGTTGTTCGTGTTTGCTTGGTTGAAGGGCAAAGTTTGAAGCCTACAGTATATGCAACAGACGTATTGGGGCGGTGGTTAGCGAGGGGCATATCTGAGCAACATATGGCAGGTGGGGTGTTTAAAAATAATTTTATAACAATTTAAAATTAAACAACTGCAAATGAACCAATATTTTAATGAATTCTATCGCCGTTTAAGTAAAAAAAAAACATGAAGGTATTTTTAGCAGAGGAGATAACGTTGCCTAACTAGCACATGGTATACAGGCAAACTTGTGATGTTTGCTTGATTTAACCATCCACAGAGGCATGTACAATTATTATTTTATTATCATTATAAAAAGCATTGGTTGGTTTGGATATCCGGTCTTGTGGTTCTCAATATTTCAAGAAAACATTTTTTTTTTAAAAGACTACCCACCCTCCAACCAAACCCGCCGCCGGATCTTCCCTTAAGTTTACTGAAATTTCCTACTTGACCAGTCTCACCCGATCGTCTCACCCGATCGTCTTACCCGTCTCACCCGATCGTCTTACCCGTCTCACCCGATCGTCTTACCCGTCTCACCCGATCGTCTTACCCGTCTCCGAGTCGGCGTTTTAATTGGGTCAAGCCTCGTTGAGTTGCTGATTAAATAACATGTTCCGAAACATTTGCAATTTTTTAGAACAATATGATACAGGCCTACATTATACCGGTACATATAAAATAAATAGCATTTCCGACTCAGGTTACCAGACCACCGAACAACAAAACACAAACAAACAAAAAAATGCGCCATACACATAAGTTGACTTATGTAAAATACTTGTTTCACGCGAACTTCAGCCCACACTCACACTATTTTGCCAGCCTAAGGACTTTAAAAGAGACGTTTACTCCCATCAAAGTGCTGCAAGATTTCAGCCCCCACGCTAAACCAACTCTACAGAACATTAATGAGAAATCGCCAGATACACGCGTGTCCAAATAAATTATTAGTCTTTAAATGTAAGATATGTGACCGAAAAGTTTGTAGAGAATTCAAATAAGCCTTAAATTCATTTATTCACTTTCTGTGCGCGAAATTTTGTACTGTAGGAACTGTCAGCAAGGCCACGCTTCTGTCTACGCAGATACTTCCTTTCTGTTCTGCACCAGGTTTGTTTCGGACAGTGTCATCGTCACTTGGGACAGTGTCATCGTCACTTGACCTGTCCTGGGCAATGGGCCAGTAAACTTTTATATATCCCCGTTAAATTATGAATCCCTAAAAACATTACTTATGTAAACCAGGGTTGTGAAGCTCCAGAAGGTGTCAAATTGAGGGGTGGGGGCTGAGGAAAAGAACAGGGGAGGCATTAGCTTTTAAATTATGATATATATATATATATAGGCCTATATATATATATATGTTAAAAGTATATTTCAAAAACATTTCTTCATTAACATTTTCCTCTATTGTACTTTATGTAATAAGTCACACGTTTATGTTATAAGTTCTACATTTCTCTTTGCAATTCAATCATTGTAGTAGAATTCTATTATTTTTAAATGCATTTCATTGCGTTCCTTTTTTTTTTTAGGGGAATAGACTTACTTATAGAGACTTAGTCAAAACAAATAATGGGGCGTACTGACAAGAGTTACCGGAAATTTGATCGAAAGAAATTTCGTCGACGGTAAATTGATCGACCGGAAATTTGGTCGAATCTTTTTTTCAGTTGACACATTAAAATTTCCGTCAAATTTCTTTTTGAACGCACTATACTATATAGTAAAACAAAATAATGCGTTCAAAAAGACATTTGAAGCAAAATTTAATCGTAAAAACGGAAAAAAAGATTCGACCATATTTCCGTTCGATCAAATTACCGTCGATCAATTTACCGTCAACGAAATTTCCTGGTCACATACCAGTATGTAGTTTAAATATATTTGCTTTAATGGTCACATACCAGTATGTAGTTTAAATATATTTGCTTTAATGGTCACATACCAGTATGTAGTTTAAATATATTTGCTTTAATGGTCACATACCAGTATGTAGTTTAAATATATTTGCTTTAATGGTCACATACCAGTATGTAGTTTAAATATATTTGCTTTAATGGTCACATACCAGTATGTAGTTTAAATATATTTGCTTTAATGGTCACATACCAGTATGTAGTTTAAATATATTTGCTTTAATGGTCACATACCAGTATGTAGTTTAAATATATTTGCTTTAATGGTCACATACCAGTATGTAGTTTAAATATATTTGCTTTAATGGTCACATACCAGTATGTAGTTTAAATATATTNATTTTTCCCACACATGTCCCTCTCTTTGTACAGAAACTCGCTGAAGCTATTTATAATTATACCAACGGATGCACGTGATGCCCACGTGAACATATTTGTTTTCAGTCAGGTAATTCATTCGTGACTATAGGAATCTCTGATGGTGAAAACAACTTCACTTTCTTGTGACGTTGTACAAAGAACCCTTTGTGGAAAAAAAAACAACAACACAAAAACATGAGTACAACACCACGCGCTGACGGCCCACAACTCTTAAGATATGATTAAAATGTTGGCTTAAAAGACTGAGGCGAGGAGTGGAATTTATCGGAGATTTTGTCCTCGTGGCGTCACATGATGGGGAGTTATTTCCTGCCAATCATGAACAATCTCGCGGCTTGACTTACTTGTTATCTTCTCAAAAGGTGAGGGCTCTTGGTGAACAAGCCCCTTCAACTCGTTATTTCAAGATGTCCGTTGAAAGCAACTCATCTTGTTGTTTCCGAATGCTTCATATTTTGAAGTGTTTCAAACAACTCATGTCTTACAAAAGTTTTTTTTTTTTTATTTTCAGTCATTTTGACTCCGCCTCGATATAACATTACATTTTTATCCGCTTCGGATACAAATAAAATTGTAAAAAATTCATAAAAATTGAGTCCTCTAAAAATTTCTTAAATATTGAGTCGTCTAGTATCTGACACACCCCCCCCTTCACCCTCTTTCAAAATAATCCGACGCAACGATTCAGGCTTTCGTGACAACTACAAAAAACAGACATTAAAGCGAGTCACGAACAATTTATTAAAAGAAAATTGCGTTGCTGGCGTTGTGGTGGAATTGTCAGTAATATGTGCCTGGAGTAGATGATAGTAAGCCACTTGAATAACAAAAGAAATACATTATAAATAAACAAATAACTTGCCGGTAGTTCTCGTTGGTGAGTTGGGTGTAATATAGTCTATAGACCCCCCCCCCCCCCCCCCCCCCCTAACACCTCTTTTGTCATTTCTCCAGATGAATGTCGACCTCATGGTATGACAAAGTACAATCGTGGCGTCCATGCTCAATCATACTCCCGTTTATAGTCGTGATGCATGTACCCTGACATCTTGAATGTTCGTGTTGTGTACAACGGCGCAAGTTTGACAAGAGCAGTGGCAGTGGCGAATCCAGAAAAAAATGACGTTATAAAGATACGCCCACTCCCCGAATCTTTATACCATTTTATTATGATACATTTGTTAACATTTGTGGAGGGTGGGGGGTACCATTCTTCAATGTGCCCTAGATGCTCTGACGGTGTGTACCACTAAGCGGCCAGGAGGACCAGGTCATCATTGTGGAAGACACAAAATGGCACGTTGCTAACTTGGACGCTGGGTTATTGCAATAGTCAAAAGTCAGCTTGAACTAGGTCAACTTGTACTTGTACACAAAGGAGAAGTCAGCTTGAACTATGTCAACTTGTACAAGAAGGAAAAGTCAGGCTTGTCAAGACGAATGGCATCATGTTACTGTTAAGTGAAGTGTCTTGATTATTATGCTTGCTTCTCTGCCTGAAGGTCGTCCTCTTGATTACAAGGGCAGACTATCCCCTCTCTCAAGCCTGCCAACACTAGCAATTTCCTACACCGTTATACTTTTAAAATGTTAATAGTAAAAAAAATAATATTTTTTTTAAATCTGACCTTCGCTCAATAAAACTTATAACGCAGGTTATTTTGAATTGTTATGAGTTGAAATGTCTTGGACACCCAAGGAGTCGGGAACCATATATAAAGTAAATGTTTTATAACCATTCTAAGACAGTCGCGTTTGCAGATATCCGCATGACGTTAAGAATTTATTGCAGTTATCAGGACTGGCCCATGATAAAAGAGGTCATGAGTTGTTTTTAATTAAAACAAAAAAAACACAACAAAAAACTAAAACGTGGCATTGCGCACAATCGGTTTCGTGGGAACAGTCATGTGATGAATTTAAATTTTTAAAAATAACAGGAGAAATCAAGGAATGCTACAAAAGAACACAATAAATGTCATAGGGAAACACACAGTCACGTTTCATTCTATGCGCGAACTTAAAAGTGGCGGAATCGCCTTAAACTGGGTCAGTGAACGCGTTCGGCACCATTGGACACTACGAACCCTATTGTGTCCACCGTGCATTACACTACTACGACAGAACTGTTGGTGAACATTTGTAAAAATAAAATTATTCTTGAGCAGCGTCTGAAATTGATATCGAATTACTTAATACTAACAAATTGGTATTAATTACATTTACTTGTGGTTAACACCAAAAGAAAAATAATGAGGTGAATTAACAGTATCTGTATCAAAATATTAATCAAGTATCAAGGGAATTTTATTAGCCTTTAAATTAGCACACACACCTACACACACAACTATGGATCGAATCGAGTCTGTGCCCCGTCATCGCCACTTTAAGAGAACCACTGCTGGTCTTGTTTTCCCTCATAGCATTGGCCAATTAATTGGTCACGCGGTGTTTACTTTAATTTACTTTTCCCACGAGTCGTCCCTATCTCAAAAACTCTCATGATAACGAGTATTTATGATTAGCCCGTTTCTCGTTAGTTGGAAGTTGTAAAGTAAAAAAAAACCTGAAAATAGGGGGGGGGGGGGAAATAATTTAAATAACTTACACAGGCATGTTCTCCGTGCTTTGCATAGGCTTAGGCCTCAATGCGTTGTAGTGGTTAAAACGTAACGTAAGGTTGTTGAACTCTTGGCCTGACTAACCGGTCGTGGCTTACCCATGCATGCTTGACAGTTATCATGCACGTGAGACTGGAATAAAAATCGTGACATCACAGCTTTTTTTTTCAGCATTACGCTGCCTTCTGTGCCTGCACATGCAGAGCACTGCCCCTATGCCCACTGAGAACGGCCCCTATGCCCACGGAACACTGCCCACTAAGCACTGCCCACTGAGAACGGCCCATATGCCCACGGAACACTGCCCACTAAGCACTGCCCCCTATGCCCACTGAGAACGCCCCATATGCCCACCGAACACTGCCCACTAACCACTGCCCCCACACTGAGAACGGCCCATATGCCCACGGAACACTGCCCACTAAGCACTGCCCCCTATGCCCATTAAGCACTGCCCCCTATGCCCACTAAGCACTGCCCCCTATGCACTGCCCCCTATGCCCACTAAGCACTGCCCCCTATGCCTACTACTGCTACAGAGCACGGTCACCTAAAAGGCCTCTCAACTTAAAAAGTTTAAACAAATGCCACTTACTGTCCCAATCATGTTCATATTTCACTACAGGGGGCATCACACATTCCTTCGTGCTTTACAGCACTTAATGTTTATGTCAGCTAGTCTTAACATTGTTTGTCTATATTCTATATCACCAAATTTTGTTTGGAAAAAAAATAATTTTGCTCTCCATAAAAAAAAAAAAACTTTGTAAAAAAATTAAAGGTAAAAATAAATTAGAAGTTCAGTGCTACGTCAAAACAAAAGGGCGGCGGAAGTCAATGAAAGGATTTTGAGGTTTCCGCCGCCGCACCTTTTGTTTTTCATAGAAGAGGAGAGTTAATAAAATAAATAAATTAAGGATTCGACATTTTACTAATACTAATAATATACATTACTTAAAAAATTGACTGGCAGGGGGTGGGGAGTCATCTTCCTGGATGGTGTTACACTAAAGATAAAGACATTCATTTAACATTTTTCGTTGATATTTCCTTAATGTGATGATTTTAATGATTTTTCTTTTAAAAAATTGGTATTTATAAATTATAGAAGACTATGAAAAATTCCAATACCTTCCAATCTGGTCCAGAATTCCATCAAATGGCTTCCTGAAGGGTTGTTCATAATAGCACTACAGCATTGCGGTCACGAAAATCTTTCTTTATTCTGGTCTTGACGGGTATAAATATATATATATTGTTTGCAGTGAAAACAAACACCTTTTTACAGTTATGTACTCCTGATACTGATTACCACCGTCTGTATATTTTCCCCAAAATGTACGATTGCCATTTGAAATCAAAATTTAAAAGTTAATTAATTTTAATTTTGATTTATTTAACTTAATATATTTATATTTAAAAGCCCCTTTCCTAAAGAACTTCTGTTTGTTTTTATTTATTATTAGTCACACATTATAGTTTTTCTTAATTTATAATTTATGATTGTGCAATTTTATAATAACTTTCGTGGTTACTCAATTAAACTTGTCAGTTTTTAGAAAAAATTAGAAATTGGCTTGAGAAAGCTGGAAAATTAGTTTTTCCTATTCAAATTATTTAATAAGAATAAGAAGGCTTTGCAGGAAATGAATAACATTGATAAATGACAATATTATGATATTGATAATTTCAAAATGTGAAACTAGTAGAAATCTGATTTTTCACTACCGGTATCATCATCAGTGGTGCTACAGCCCATGTTAGGGCCCTGACCTGCTCTGCCACATTCTTCCATTCCATCGATCCATAGGTTTCCGACTCCATGCGTAGACCCCCAGCTGGTGTAAGTCTTTCTCTACATCCTCAATCTATCTCATTCTTGGTTTACCGGTCAGCTGTCTGCCCCTAGGTTTCTGTCTCTAGATCACTTTTGCTGCTCTTCAATCCGGCATTCATTCAATATGTCCTGTCTAGCTCAGTCTGTCTTTTTACGTCTACTCTGTAAACAAGAAAAGTGACAATCGTATATCGCGTGGATGACATTTTTCGCAACTATGCCCATTAAATAACGCCCCAAAATTATATATAGATCAAAGAGTAGAGTTATACTTCCATGCCAGAGGCCACACATGCCGAGGGGCAGCGGGGTCACAACTAATTTAAAAGGTGTTCTTTGTGTTTTTTTTAATTGTGTTGCATTCACATATTATATTGGTAAATTACTTTGCTGTGCTCGGCTTTTTGGTGACGCAATTTCTGGGCTGCTACCCCCTGCTCCCTTGCTTCACCCCTAAACGTAACCCTAACCCTTTGAACTTTTCCAGTGCAAAATCTAAACATTTTGACATTACCTGTGTTGGCAAGTTTTTATATACATCATGCTTGGGGCGTGTTTACTATTTAAAATAAAAGGAGCAAATTTAAATTGAAATAAGCCAAGTTGACAAACTAAATTATCATCATCATACACGACCCCTTTATCATCATACACGACCCCTTTATCAACATACACGACCCCCTCATCATCATACACGACCCATTCATCATCATACGCAACCCCTTCATCACACACGACCCCTTCTTCATAATACACGACCCCTTCATTATCATACACGACCCCTTCCCTTCATCATCATGCACGAGCCCTTCATCATAATACAGGACCCCTTCATCATAATACAGGACCCCTTCATCATCATACACGACCCCTTCATCATCATACACGAGCCCTTCACCATAATACACGACCCCTTCATCATAATACACTACCCCTTCATCATAATACATGACCCCTTCATCATCATACACGACCCCTTGATGCTACAACACCCTTTCTTTATAGAACAAACATTTATCATACACAAACCATTATCCTATACCCCCCCCACCACCAAAAAAAAATAAAAATAAAAAAATAAATAAATAAAAAATCTCACAATGTCGAACGAATTCTTTCCTTTTTTTATAATATATTTATTCTCTTACTTATTAATCTGGTTGTATTTGGTATCTGCTAACTCTTACAATTCTATAAACACAACTCCAATATTTTGACATCTAACTTGTGCAATTCCATAAATACAATCCTAATGCTCCTAATCAATTTTCTCATAAGTCATAAGTCAATGTGTTCATGCGCCGAGAACAATTTACCTAATAATATTGGGCCATTGGGGCAATGGCGGATTGTGGAAGTCATCGGGAAAAATTCCACAATCTTTTTTCGAAAGAAAAAGTATGAACTATTTATTCTCCTCCTCCCCCCCCCCCCTCTCCACCAGAGTAGTGTAATGTTAAATGTTTTTTTTTGTTCATTTTGTGAAAAAGTTAATTCAACTCTCAGACATTAGACTATGATTAGACTGTGTCTGGTGTGAACGTCGCTGTGTGTGTGTGTGGTTTGGGGGGTGTAATGGGGGGGGGGGGGGGCGTTATAAAAGACTAGGCAGCAACGGCATTGCCTTTTGCTCAGTGATGTCAACGAGTTTGAGATCGGTGGGCCTCTTTTGTTTAGCTGTGGTATTCTCCCCTGCCGGTGTGCCCAGCCCCGCCCCCCCGCCCCCCTGTAGGTAAGCCGTGGGTTAGAGTAGCACGTTAGACGCCGCTCCGGGAAAAAAAAACAACCGGTGGCATTAGTGGCACGAAGGCTCTAAAACCATTCAGTTATAGGTGGCGCGCTAAAATAGACATCACTTTAAGCATGTTACCCAGAGGCGTAGCGTGGTGGGGGCAGGGGGGGGGACAGATGTCCCCGGGCGCCAGCTAGTTAAGGGCGCAAAAATGTGCTTTGATATTATTTTATTGATGAAAATAATGGGTTTGAGAGTTGAAAAAGGGGCGCTAAAAATGGATCTTGTCCCCGGGCGCGAATCTTGTCCCCGGGCGCCAAACACCCTCGCTACGCCACTGATGTTACCCTCATAAATACATTTTAAAAAATATTTTGATTGGATTCATTTATTTAATGTTAGTATTTTGTGCGACCAGTATCCGGTGACGTGGAGTGAGTGGGAAACATTTTTCTTTACATTTGTGTCCTGGCGCGCGTGCGTGTTTGTGTGTGTGGAGGGTTGGGGGGGGGGGGTACTGTTGACAATGGCAAACGTTTTTTAACATTAAAACTGGGGTTAAAAAGAATAGTATTATTTGGCCCTGTCGAAGGGATCCGTCATGAGAATCACTGAAGACACTACTATCGCACCTGGCTTAGGGCCAGCTCCCCTAACAAGTGCAGGATGGCAGGTAAAGCCGACTCGCAGCTGATGATGGCTGTTGGTTTGGGGTGGGTGGGGGGGGGGACAAGACCCGTTGTTTAATCAGTTGAAGTGGGGGGGGGGCTGCTGCTTGGTTTTAAGGGGGTGGTAGTCCGAGTCTAAACAGGACAAATGCGGGAGGGAAAAGGAAGAGGGGGGTGTCTTGAATGGGGGGGGGGGGGCGGTTAAAAAAATCTAGGCATGCTTTGTGCTGTCTTGTTAGTTTTTGTGTGTTTGTATAGCGGGAGCCTGGTCGGACTGTTAGAGGTGGACAGAAAAAGCAGTTAGTATGGGAGAGGGGAGGGGACGGTTGCCAGAAGGATTTGTGAGGTGTCAGCAGCCAGATTAAAAATGGAAAGAAAGAGTGTGTGTTTGTAGAGATGTGAACCCTTCAAGAGGAGTTTAGGCCCACATAGTCTGTGCCTGGGGAAACTGGCACTGGGAAGAATCTCAAGTTTAAAATTTAAAAAAAAACCAAAAAAAACAACAACTATAAAACTCATTGCAAGATGGGAGTAAACAATCGATAAATATAAGGAGAAGTGATTTAACTTTTAGACGTAACAGTAGACAGTCCCTCAGTAGAAGTAGAAGTTTTAGTAACAGGGAATGGTGTGAGTCAAGTTGGAAAGTCTTACCAAAATATATTTTAAAAACCCTTAAAAATAAAATTTCTAATTGTTATGATTACCTCACGTTTGTGTCCCAACATGTGAGTGTTGCAGTTGAATATTAGGCCTACTTGTTACTGTAGGGGCAGAGGTTCAAATGACACAAGATATACTAAGAGTCATTGTGATAAAATTGTTGATGCTCTCCAGTACAGAATCAAGAAGTTTTGATAAATTAATAAATGTTTTGCATTGGAAAAAAAAAAAAAGCTTGAACCAAAAAAATTGGCGCAAATTGTTACACCGGTATTCATTCCTTAGTTAAGCTTTAGATAGCCGGTCTGTAATTTGTTTGAAATAGTGGCAAGCCAAATTTGTCAAATACAATTTGAATGCATCCCCCTAAGTATATTCAACAGGATCACAGAATTTTTTTAAACAATTCTAAATCAAGCCAAAATGTTTTCTCCCCAAAACATGTTATTTTGTAATGTATTCAAAATATTAAAAGATTGTCTCCTCTGCTTAGTCAAAAAAATCACTTTAAGTTGAGTGAAAATAATGAAAAGTAAATAGGTTGGTTCTTTTCCTTTTATTTGGAGGTTCTTGATTACAACTTGATTTGTTGAACGGGTTTTTTATTTGGTCTTCTACAAAAACTGGTTTATTTATCTTTTAAGCTATGTTAACATTATTTTATAAACTAGATGCCAGACAATCTGGAACCTTTTCAAAAGAGCAGAAATGAGCTAAGCAAACTTTCGTATTCTGCAACCAGAGGTAGACAAAACAGTCCTCGGGTCATATTCACAAATTCTTTTATGCAACATCAGCAACAAAGATGTAAAAGAAGAATTGTCTGTACATAGAATGACTACTGACTCCAATATAGTACTGTACACATGTTCCTTTAGCACTTCTTTATGGGTCTCGACATCAGGATTGGAAAAACTAATATATAAAATAAAATTGTAAAAAAAAAAAACATTTAGCTGTTTACTAGTAAAATACTTACTTACATAAAAGGATTCCTTAGTTGGCCTGTATTAAAAAAAATTAACCTGTACTAAGGGCCGCTCTGAGTGTGGTTTCGCATAATTGTACAAGTTTGCTCAACAATGGAGTCTATCTATGTAGTTTTTAGGATGGATCCGATGTTTAAAATTTAGGAGAAGGTGCCTATATAATACTCAAGAAATATTGATATTAAAAGATATAACCTATTCCGTGCCTATCTATTTGAAGCCAGTATGTGATTGTTAACTGAGATTGAGACAAAAATGTGCAGTAAAATATGTGACAAGCAGTATGATTTATCTGTCTTCCAAATAAATCAATGTTCCTTAAGTTTTGGTATATTTTGGTTAATGTGCTAAGTTTAGGAAGGCCTACTTAATAGCATTGTAGCTTGAGATGTAGTCTACATCATGCCTAAATCAATTAATTCAACTACACATCCCAGTAACACACCTTTTTCTGCTTACTAAGAAACAAACAAAAACTTGTGCATTTACATACTTTTTGTATCTGAGATTTTTTCCTGTGTTCCAATGAAATGCATAACTTATTCTCTAATAATTGTTCCACTTAATTAAGTTTGACGTTATCTACTATTTTGAATTAACATTGAAAGTTAACATTTAACTACTTAGTTGCACATTTTATTCATAGGACCACAAGTGACTAGCTTTAGTTAGGCCTTAGTAATTAGTAAAACTTCATACCCAGTTAGTGTCAGTCTTATTTCCTGCATTGAAAAAAAACAAAACCACCATGTTCAAAGCTTATATTTATTGTTGTCATCAGTTCTAAGAGATATTTAGATAATTCATTTCATGTAAAATAACATATCTTGAAAATATCTCCCTTTGATTAATCTCTTCGGAAAGATGGTTTTGAGAAACCATTAGCTATTATGTCTCTTAGTTTTGTAACCACTTTGTCCTAATGTTTTTATTTAAACCTGTTGTCATTTAGTTTGGAAATAACTTAACCCGAGTTGCTCATATTTTTAGAGTTAATTTAATATACTGCAGTACTTAATTTTAATTTTAACGAAGTTTTAATTATGAATTTATTGTATTTCTATTTCTCCAGCTGACCCACTTCTGCTGTTTGCCAACCATAAGGATGTCCAGATAATTGATGTGGCCAATCCTCGTGCCAACACCACCATCATTATCTCTGGCCTTGAAGATTCTGCAGCTGTTGATTTCATTTATGATGAGCATGCCATCTACTGGACAGATGTCTCTTTGGAACACATCAAAGTGGTTTACCTAAATGACACCAAAAACCCAAAGGTTGTTGTCTCAGTTGGCTTGGTCTCTCCTGATGGGCTGGCTTGTGATTGGCTGGGCAGGAAATTGTATTGGACTGATTCCGAGACAAATCGCATTGAAGTCAGTAATTTGGATGGAGAGCATCGTAAAATTTTGTATTGGCAACGATTGGACCAGCCTAGAGCGATAGCTTTAGATCCAGAAAATGGGTATGTAGTTCTTTTAACATTAAAGTATTAATTTTTAAAGCATTTGAGAGATATTACAGATTTGTATTTCAGCTTTTGAAAAGCCACAAAGAACCTCCTTAATATCCATTATAAAACTTATGTAAAATTTTAAAACCAATGGGTAGGAATTTAGGACACTTGATGTCACTATATAAATCACAAGCTGTAAGTTTAAAGAAGGAAGTAAGGTGAAGCTTTTTTTTAAAGATACATGTCGTCTCCGCAGGGAGGTGGTGCATGTAAAGTCTATGCATATGCATGTACAAATAAATATACGAGGGTGAAAGTTCTTATCCAACTATAAATGATAAGTTAAAGAATGGAACAGATAATTTTGGATAATACAGGCTGAATCTTGGCTAACAAACAATTAATTAATATACTACTGTAAAACTCTTTCTTTAGTGTCATTAAATGCCCTGTTAATAATTTGTTCACTGAAAGGAAAATGACCTATTTGTTCCCTTTTCTTTCGTTATATTCGTGACAGTTGGTATTACCAATTTATGGAGATATGCCTTCTAACACTGCAGTATGAACAATTACAAGTTAAATAAATGTGTCTAAGCTTATTCACTGATGGTCTCCCCTAGGTACATGTATTGGACTGACTGGGGAGAGACACCAAAGATTGAGAAGGCTGGGATGGATGGCAATGAGGAGACCCGGGCCATCATCATCAGTGAAAACATTCATTGGCCAAATGGACTTACTATTGATTATGGTGCATCAAAGTTGTATTGGGCAGATGCCAAATTAAACCACATTCACAGGTGAGATTTTTAGCATGTGATGTAAAATGTAAATACAAATTGTATTTGTATTACAATTTAAAATAGTACCAAGTGACATTGTCAATTATTCTCAAAGACGCATGGGTTGTAGATTTTACTGAAGTGTTTGACACCCCATGTACAGGTGGATTCATTGAGTGTGTATACATATCGAAATCGACTATGGCGGCATTAATCAATCGGATATGCTAATTGTGAAATTGGCTGTAGGGGCGCAGATGGCTGATGAGACCGATTCTGGCACAAAATTTTCTTGTACAGGGGATTGATGGGACATCTCCCGTTGCAGAGTTAACTCAGGCTTTATTTTGAGTTTACATACAGTGGCAATAAAATAAACTATATGTTTCCTTTATATATTTTTAGCAAAGTTGAAAATACTAGCAAAATAAATTTTTTTTATTGTAACATTTTGTAACATTTATACTATTTATGTTAATATAATCCAAACTAGATTTTTCTCTTGCCATATTATATTAATTATAAAATTGCATTATTCTATTTCTTAGCTGTGATTTTGATGGCAAAAACAGACGTGTTGTTGTGGAAGGCTCTTTACCCCATCCATTTGCCTTGACCATGTATGAAGGCTACTTATTCTGGACAGACTGGCATACCCGATCCATCCATGGATGTAACAAGCTGACGGGGATTAACTGTACCGTTGTTCTGGACAAGCTGTACGTTCCAATGGACATTCATGCATTTATGAGCAGCAGACAACCAAAAGGTAAGTAACTATTTTTACATTTTTTTTTACCTTAGTTGAGTTTTTATTAGACAGTCATGTAATCAGTTTTATTGTTTGGTTACAAATGGATTTTTATAACAAAATACAGTTTTTTTAAAAATACTGCGTCTCATCAATCATTTATATGGAAGAATATCACATTTAAGAAAGTGACACCATATTAATGTACTTGCAATATCTCAGAACAATTATAGTTGTGAATGTCTGAATGTACCATAGTAAAGTTAAACTATCTTTGATGGACACAATAAAGAGACCAGAGAAAGTAATTAAAACTCAGTGTGCAATGGCTGGCCCATGTTTAAAAAAAATGTGAAACTGGATATTTTTTTAAAAGGAGAAAGGGTATTGCAACATTAGGGATGATTCTATATGGTTGCTGGATATTTTATTTAAAGAAGAAAGGGATTTGCAGAAGTAGGGATAGCATGGGCAATTTTTGTAGGTTAATACCTAATATTTGGACTGTAACCTCTCTTATCTCTCACTTCATGTAATCTAAAATTTTTAATAAACAACATTTTTAATAACTAATGTAACATCAAAACATATTCAGAAATTATTCTTTTGTATTAAAAAGTTAATTTATTATTTAACTTATAAATGTTTTAATTACTTTAATTGATGACATGAAGGGATCTTTGAAGCGGAAACTGAGACTTTTTAAAAACACTTCCACAATACTGTTATTCCAATAGAAATAATGAAGAAAATTTTTGTATATGGTTTAAATTAAATGAGGGTGAGCTCAAGGTTTTATTTATCCTTCATTACCTGTAATGTGTGGTTAAAGATAATTTACAGCTGATAATTTACAGCAGTGTTTCTCAAACTAATTGGTACTTTGATAGTGATGATGATGCTTTTATCATATAATTTTTTGTTAGACTAATAAAGTGAATTTAGTATGTGAGGACTGATAGTACCACTAATGAAACTTTAAAAAAAAATAAATATATGATAAGGTGATTTGGTGTTGTGACCTGACCTGAAAGATTTGAGAAACATTGATTTAAATAATTTATTTAATATACAATAATTTTATGTGGGTAAAAAATTATTTTCCTTTAAAATGTACCTTCCTTTTTGTTTTTGTTTTGCCGCCTGGACCTGCAGACCTGAAAAATATTGGAGGTAAAGAATGGTTTCATGATGTTTGCTCAGATTATACCATTTGAATGGTTTTCTACTTTTCTTTCTACCTCACATTACCTGTTGTTATAACCCTACATAGCAATCATATAAAAACCTTGATACCACTATCTTCTAAAAGTTTATGAAAGCAAATCATATTTTAAAAAGTTTACTGGTTTACTAACTGAATTGCTATTGCTAGTTGAGATTTAGTTGCGTAGACACAGCCAATGTTAGGTCTCTTGTAAGGGGCTTTCATGAATGTTATGTCTTCTATCAATAACTTGGCATGAATAGCCCTTTTTTATTTACATGAGGAAAAATCTGAAGACAAAAATGCCAACAAATGTATTTATGAAACTTTGATAGGAAAGTTGCCAATATCCAGTCTGGCTTTGCCTTAATTAAAGTTAAACAAATACATATATTAAAAAAGACAAAGTAGTGATATCTGGCTACTTGGGTCACATCCTTCTAGGGCCCTGTCCTCAAAAAGATGTTGGTTTTGATAAAGAGGTTAATTGAAATGTCATTCTCTCGTAGGAAAAGAAGCATTTAAACATTAAGCATTTTAAAAAAAAGGAAGTTATTAGTCTAAATGATAAATTTCGAACAGCAAACTTTTTACAATTAGAACACTGATTGTTTATCTTCCTTGTAGATTGTTTTAATTTATCCGATGACACATTTATTTAAACATGTCAAATTTTTCTTATTGAATAACTGTCATTTTATTTGATATAATGAGAGAAATATTGCTTGGCATAAAAATAAAGTGACTTCACCAGAGCCTAAAAACTGCCTATGAAACTAACTTTCAAGTTGTCATAATTATATGAAACAACTATATTCGATATGCTTTCTTAAATAAAAAAACGTATAAAGTTTCCTGTATAAGTTTTTTTGTTGTTGTTTTTTTTATCTATCATGGTGCAGCTTTCCTCTTTAAAATGAGGTTGAACCTTAAAAAAGGCTGAGAACCTGTGATCTACTATAAATATAACAACACCAACAAAAAGAACCACTTATTATGGATACTGTACATTAAAAATCCAATTTCTTGAATGTTATTGCATTAACATGCTGAAGTTATATTCTTTTTAATGCATATTTAGAAGTTTGTTAGAGTAACAATAGTTTTGCTTTTGTGTGTGTGAAGTAGAGAGATTAATTCATCTCAATTAAAAAAAATATTTAAAATCAATATAAAATGACTGGTAATAATTCTTATATGAAACATTAAAAAAAACCGCACAACTACCTGCTTGCATGTTTCATCAGGCATGGAAGCAGCTTAAGCTAACACATAATGTGAATCACAATTGATTCTATAGTAAATATTTTAATTTATCAATTTGTTTATTGTTTGTTTAAATTTAAAAAAAAAAAAATGAAATAACATTAAATTAAAATAAGTGGTTTCAACTAAAAATCTAGTCATCAGTTTTGTCTTTACTTTGTCCCTTGTAACTTGCTTTGAATCCAGTCAACTTTGTCCTTCATGATTTAAAGTTACTTATACATCTGCACCACATAAAATTTAGAGATGTGCGCCCAAATCATCTATTCAATTTGTGTTTCGCAATGCATTGTGAAATAACGATGCCAATTTTTTTTGCTACACTTTCAGGTCGCAATATGTGTGGCTCCAACAATGGAGGATGTTCCCATCTGTGCCTGATGTCCCCACTCTCACCTTATTTCAAGTGTGCATGTCCAACTGGCGTTAGCCTCTTGGCAGACAATAGAAGATGTGCTCAGGGTCAGTAATTCTGCTGTTAAATATCATAATTCATCTTTAAATAATTTTTTTTTTTTTTTTTTTTTTCTTTTTTTTTTTTTTTTATTTTTGTTTTTATATTTTATATTTTTTTTTTAAATAATTTTTTTTTTTTTTTTTTTTTCTTTTTTTTTTTTTTTTGGCAACAAGAACTGAGCCGTAGTAGTAGTAAGGCTACTAACTACTGTTTTAGTGTAGACAACAAATTTTTAAATTTCATGCCAGGTTGGCTGCAGAGTTCCGGCTTTGGTAGTATTACTCAGTTGTTACTCTTCCCCAAGTATAGTTGATTTACTTGGCTAATGATTCCATTCCATCTTGCCATTTACCCATAACTGTGGGAGCTGTCCATGCAAATGTTGATGTTTAAAAAATGTATTCATTCGCTCTGGCTTAAAAAAAAGTTATTGCGCGTAAATATTATTTCTTTTAACTTTATTAATTAAAATTTACTAAAATTTTATTAGATTTTTATATGTAATTTTAAATAAAAAGCAATTAAAAATATATTTCTCCTTTCTTATTGGATTGATGTCGTGAATGTAAAATTTGAATAATTGAATTTGGTCTCCAGCCGCAGAGAAGATGTTGTTCTTGGCCAGGCGTCATGATATACGGAAAATCTCTCTAGACACACCTGATTACACAGATGTGATGCTACCTATTCAGCACATACAACACACCATAGCATTGGACTATGACAGCGTTTCAGGGTACATCTACTGGACAGATGATGAGGTCAAGAAGATACAGAGGGCGCATTTGGACGGAACAGGTACATGTTTATGGAAGTTTTAATATGAATCACACCTATTTAAAGCATTTGCAATATTCAATCAGCTTCCATTCATATGATTATAAAGGGTTGGACTGCTATAAAACTTAATTTTAATTTATTTCTATATGATTAAGCATTAGTATAAATCTGTTAATTTTTAAAAAATAGATCAAGAAGTCCTAGTGGATACAGAAGTAGACCATCCAGATGGTATTGCCATAGACTGGATTGCTCAAAATCTTTACTGGACAGACACAGGCACAGACAGGATTGAAGTTTCACGTTTGAATGGAACATCTCGTAAAGTTGTCATCTCTGATAACCTTGATCAACCTAGGGCCATCTGCCTGGATCCTGTAGCTGGGTAAGTTTAAAACACATCAATTCACTCAAATATCAGCTAAGTGGTACTGGATCATTCAATTCATGGATACATTTGTAGTGAAGTAATCTTTTAAATTATAACTTGAAATAATGGACATTTGATTATTCTGAGTCCATTTAAACTTTTATTTCTTAGTCTAAATCAGTTTTATACAATCGTTTTTGTTTTTTTCACAAGAATCTGATCTCTTATGTTTGCAGGTACATGTACTGGACAGACTGGGGGAGGGACCCTGCCATCGAAAGGGCATATCTCGATGGCACAGAGAGGAAAAAAATAGTTTCTACTGATCTAGGCTGGCCTAATGGTCTTGCTGTTGATTTGGTCAAGTCCCAACTTTACTGGGGAGATGCTAAAACAGACCGTATAGAAGTCTCTGATTTGGATGGTAGCAACAGAAGAACATTGGTCTCTCAAACTTTGCCTCATATTTTTGGATTTACTTTGCTTGGTGAGTGAATGAGTAAAGACAGGTTCTATCATCATCTGTTACAGGATGGCATGTATACTATACCTCATTACGTAGAGGACACTTGCATATCTCAGCAAATATAGAGAACATATATTTAGATGCTGGTATGGACTGCCTTTTAATAAGTTGTTTTTAAAGCAGTATATTCAAGTCACACCATTTATATGTAATGTTGTCTGCACGCAGGTGATTACATTTACTGGACTGACTGGCAGGGCAGATCAATAGAGAGGGTGAATAAATACACTGGTCAGAATAGGACGACCATCATTGACCAACTGCCTGATTTAATGGGTCTAAAAGCTGTTAATATCCACAGGCCGAGTGGTGAGTACAGTGCTATTAGAGAAAAAAGGCTCGCCATGCTTAGAAAAATTACAAATTTTTATAACCACAGGAAAGAAGGATACAAATTTTTTTTATTATTTGTATTTTACAATAGGTTACTGCTTGCTATCATAGTTGTTCCCCTTATAATATGCAATTTATAATAAATATATATATTTTTTTAATAAGTGTACAATTTTGGTCATGTTATTTGAACAAATTTTCTTCTAAGGCACAAACACATGCGCAGAAAATAATGGCAATTGTAGCCATTTATGTTTGTATCGGCCTCAACCACTGAGGCATGTCTGCGCCTGCCCCATAGGACTGGAACTAAGAGCGGATGGTCACACCTGCATTGTCCCGGAGGCATTCCTGCTCTTCTCCAGCCAGTCTGATATCTGCAGGGTCTCGCTCGAGACCAACCAAAACAATCAAGTTATCCCCATCTCAGGTGTCCAGAAACCTACATCTGTTGACTTTGATATTTCTGACAGTCGAATCTACTGGACTGATGTTAAGCTACAGGTCAGCACTTCAATTGATGACATGGTTTAGTATACTTTTAGCTCTGAAGTTCTTAATGTTATACTCCACATTCAAAATTCAAATTATTTAGAAAATGATGTGTTTTTTAATTTAAAAAAACAACAACATTCACTTGTTTTTTCATGGTGAAATAATTGGGAGCTCTAAAACTATAAATTTTGTTCCTCACAAATGAGTGCAACAAATCAATATGTTTTGTTAAAAATATTATTTCTTAGTTAATTTTGGCCCAATAACAATATTCAATCAAATTTTTTGTAAGTTATTAAAAACATAATGTTGGGCTGATTCTTTTATCTCATCCAGTAAATCCAGATGTTAACGAGATTGTCTGCATATTGTTTTGCCATTTTTTCCCCAGCACATTAGCCGAGCCTTCATGAATGGCAGTTCCTTGCAGCACATTATCCAGTTTGGCCTGGATTATCCAGAAGGAATGGCTGTTGATTGGGTGGCACACAACATTTACTGGGCTGATACCCGCAAAAAAAAGATTGAGGTGGCCAGATTGGACGGGTCATCTCGGAAAGTTTTGGTATGGAGAAATCTTGATGGGCCAAGAGCTATCGCTCTGGATCCTGCAAATGGGTAAATAACTATTTCACTCTAAATACCATTAGTTAACAGCCACTTTACATTGTTATTCTGAGCTATAACATTTGCACAGTTGACCACAGCTTAAACTATTAAATTTTCACTTCATCTAGGTTTTAATATTCACCTGTTATGTTCAGTTTTACTTTGAATTTATAAATTAAGTCATCTGTAAAAAAAATGTTTTGCTGAACTTTTTTTTTTTAAAGTTATTTTCCACCTATGAAGGGAAATTACATAAAATCTTAATTTTCAAAGTTCTTGTACCACTGTGACCACTAATGCCTGTTTAAATTTACTACATTTTTAATGAAAACTGCTGCTTTATTTGTGTAACAACATTTATAAATATAATTCAGATTAGGAAATTTTCTATACCGGTATTTCTTTATCTTCTATAATTGCTATAAATATTAATTCCAATTTCTATAATTTTAATAGCTACATGTACTGGACATTTATGGGAGAGGAGGAGCAAGGACTGGAGAGAGCCCATCTAAATGGGACCAATCGCAAAGTGCTGGTCACTAAGATAGGGAGAACTCAGGATTTAACTATTGATTACCAGGAACGTCGTCTGTACTGGACAAACCTAGACAACCACAGCATTGTGTCATGTGATATGAATGGTAAGTATTTTTTGTCAAGCCACAGTGGTAACTGCGTCACTGGTTTAAAAAGGTGTTCATGAAGTTTGAGTTTGATGTTCCATAAAAAAGACTAGCTATATAAGCACATTAGCTAAATCTAGACCGATCAGTTTAAAAATCTATTTGACTTCTTAGCCTTATAATCTATTCAGTATAATTGAACACACAATTTTGTTATGCTCAAAGAAGGGATAGCCCTTCTTAACTAGATTTTAGACAGCATACTATGTCTTTTTTATACTACTGTATCACTTCTTTGGGTATTTCCTTACACCTTTTAACTAGACTATCTTTACTTAATTAAATTACTTAAATGTATTTTTTAACTAGACTATCTTTGCTTCAATGTATTTTTAACTAGACTATCTTTACTTAAATGTATTTTTTAACTAGACTATCTTTGCTTAAATGTATTTTTAACTAGACTATCTTTACTTAAATGTATTTTTTTAACTAGACTATCTTTACTTAAATGTATTTGTTTGGGTATATCTTTTGCTCATTATAGCAGCCACAGGTATTTAAGTTGACCCAACTGAATTTCTGACTTTCATGACAATGTGCATTCATAGGAGATGACATGAGGGTGATAGTTCAGTCTGACATACTGGAGCCTATGGGGTTGAGCCAGTACCAGGATTATGTTTACTGGACAGACATCAAACATAAGACAATTGAAAGGGCCAACAAGATAAATGGGTTGAACAGGACACTGATACAGAAAGACATAGAATTGGGGATGGATATATTGGTGTTTCACAGCTCTAGACAGCCAGGTAAGTCTAAAGATTTAATGTTTACTCAATATTGAAAACTTTAAATGAATTCTGTAAGGTAGAACACTTGTTTGAATAAAACTAAAAAAAAATATTTTTTTTAAAAAATAAATATATTGATGAATTATTTCCATTGTTAAAATTATTATTTTAATTATATTATACTTAATAAGAAAAAAATCTTAAAACATGGTTTTTGTTTGCTATATTTGAAAAGTCATATGTATGCATATATTTCAGGTACAAATGCCTGTGGTCGTAACAATGGAGGTTGTTCACACCTGTGTATGGCTCATCCAGCCAATACATCCAACACAACACACCACTGTGCATGCCCGACACATTACACACTAAATGATGATAGTCTCACCTGCTCAGGTATTTTGACAATTTTTTTTAACAACCTTTGTAGTGCCTTGATAAGCTACTGGGTTTTTTATTTAAAAATTTACATAATATGATAGTAATAAAATAATTATATTTCTACATATATAGTCTAATCTGTCATGGTCATAGCCTAACATATTTTTTTAATTACTTGTAAAATCTAAGTCATTTATTTGACATTAGTTTATTTCAACTTTAAACAAACATTTTTTTTTAATCTTTAAGAAATTATCAAATATGTGATACATTCATTTAGTTAAATGATTATGTAAATGTGAAATCTACCAAATAATATATTGCCCTTTTCATGAATGTGTGATTGTAAAATATTCCTTTCACTTCCTTCCAATTAATGTTGAGCAGCCCCAAAACAGTACCTGCTGTTGTCAACCCGCAATACGACCATTCGTCTGGTAATTGATGTAGACAATGCGGGGGATTATCCTGAAGTTGTTTTACCCATCAATGGCATGAAGAACATCAAAGCTATCGACTATGACCCTGTGGGAGAATTCTTCTACTGGATCGAGGGCAAACAAAAGATCAAGAGGGCTCATGATAATGGAACAATGGTAGATTTTAATTCTTGTCATTGCTGATTAAAACATAACTTATGTTATTGTGTAAACTTATTCTACAGAGTTGTTAGAATCGTTATTTTTATTTTGTGCCGTGAAATGAGGGGACTTTGCCTATAGTTTGCCTTTGTGAATAAATTTCAACATGTTAATTGATCTAAAAACTAACACAAATGCGCTAATGTACAGTGTGGGTATCTACACTTTGTTGTTATAGTTGAATGAAGTCATAGTTTTATCAGGTTGAGTTGATTAATAAGGTTTTTGGAGATTTTTCAACCAAACGAAAAATGGGGTGTCTTTTCCTTTGAAATGAAAGACAGCGTAATACATGTAGAATAAATAGAAACAAATAAATAATTTGCCTCTCTATATTTACTGTTTGATCATAATATTTTATTGTAACGAAAGGTGGGGGGGGGGGGGGGGGGGGGGGGAATAATATCACCAGTTCATATAAAAAATAATGATCTAATCTTTTCTTTCGAGGCAAACCTTCATCATATTTTTTGGCCTTTACACCATCTAATGATACTATCATAGCTTCAATTTATCTTTAAGTAATTATTTTTTGGCCCCCAGCCTTGGTCTTTATGTGTTCCATTGTTCAAATACACATCTCCTTAAAAAAATGAATGATATATTTGATATTGAAAAGTTCTTAGAGTAATCTATCTTGTATCATTTCTCAACAGATAAGCACAGTTGTGAATGATGTAGACAATTCCTTCCAGCCATTTGACATAGCCATAGATCCTTATGGGCGTATGTTGTACTGGACATCCGCTGCTAGCAATGTCATCAATGTAACACGGCTTGATGCTTTCAATTCTCCCATAGGTGTCATTATGTCTGCAGCCACTAACTTTAAACCCAGATCCATTGTTCTATATCCTGAGAAAGGGTTAGTAACAACATTATTTTAAAAAGTTATATTAAAATATAACCATCCATGATAAAGAATTACATTGATATGTTTCAGGATTTTATTTTTTATGTTGAGATATAAGTACAAGTTAGAGAGGTAAATTGTTTCAAATGGACATAATTGAAACTACCAGAATTTGTCTGTTCTACCCTGGCTCATACTTGTATAACTAAGGCACCATTTTTTATACTTCATAGTTTAACCAGCTCATTACATAACAAACACAAATTATCACTTAGAACTGTATTCTGCAGAAAAATGTTTTTCACAAATATGGTGAGTTCCCCGAGGATCGAGATGGCACTGATGGATGGATCTGAAAGGACGACTTTGTTCCGAAATAATTTGGCTCAACCTCAGTCTCTGACGATAGACCCCAAGGAGAAGAACCTTTATTGGGCGGATCCCTCACTCAGTCGTATAGAGTCCTCGGATATTATGGGAGGAAACAGAAGAGTACTGGTTGATGGGCAGGTTAGTAGACAAAAGAAAAATTGGTGCTTTTGGTATCAAGGTAGAAACTGGTCAAGGAGTGAGAATCATACTGGTCATGAAGTGAGAATCATATTTTAATTGACATGTAATTAACTTTTCCCCCCTTCAAATTTAGCTATTTTCTGTGGAATGTGTTTTTTCATTTTATGTTGTTGAAGTCTTGATGTCTCTATGGTAACTGACATTGTATAATAACAAGGGCTATGAAGTGTAGCAATCTGACCTTTGGCCGAAGATTACCTTTGACGTGACGCACTTTGTCTAGAGGTCGGTCCCCTGCGTACTAGCCACAGAACAATTTTTCAATAGAACCCCTTTCTTTCTAGCTCCTACAGAGCTGACTCTTGCTCCAAGCATCAACAAACAATTCAGAGATTCAGGTTTTCTTATTTATTGGCTATGTGTGCCTAACAATGGAAAATTTATTAGAAATAAGCTCTGGTGTTCAGAATAAAAAAAACTCCACATACTATACAAAACAGTTAAAGTTACACAAGTCCTCTTCCATCCGTAGAAAAACTCACTGCCTTCACAAGACAAAAATCATACACCATATCCACAGCACTCGCCACTGTTCACTCCTTAAAAACTCATCTCACACACGTTGTTCCTCCCGACACAGCACACCGGTCATACCTTGACCGAGAAAAATAAAAACTCGTGGGGCACACGGGGAAAATAAACTCACCCACTATTGGTCAAATTAACATTATAAAAGTTGACACAGAAAAACTCACGCGATCTGACCGTGACAAGACTCACATTTTTAATACCGGTATGAAAAAAGGCAAATCTTTTTTAATAAGTTGGTTAAAAATACTTTCCTTTGATTTAAGGATACCTATTACTTACCTTAATTTTTTTTGTGTAAATGGACTTTTAAAAAAAAATGTAATAAAAATATATTTTCAGGTTGGGGGTCCAAGAGGACTGGCAGTTTTTGGTAAATTTCTGTACTGGCTTGCCAAGGAGCAGAACTTTGTTGAGAGGATTCACAAAAAGACCGGAAACAAACGCTTGTGGGTGCGAGGTCGAATCCCTGGGCTCAGTGATCTCATTGCAGTGGAGCACAGTATCTCTGCTGGATGGCACCCTTGCTTCAAGAACAACAGTGGATGTTCCCATATTTGTTTCAGTGTTGAGGATAAGAAAGCCAGATGTTCCTGTCCAGTGCACCTGATGCTGAAGCCTGACAAGCAGACCTGTGCTGAACCCCCAACATGTGCATCAGATCACTTCAAATGTCACAGTGGGGGTGTTCAGTGTATTCCTTTGGTGTGGAAGTGTGATTATTCCTCTGAATGCGAGGACAACTCGGATGAGGAGAACTGTGATGTCTGCACAGCTGAACAATTTAAGTGTGCCAATGGAGAATGTGTGGATAAGAAGCTGAAATGTGATGGCAGAAAGAATTGTGCAGATGGTTCAGATGAGGAGGGGTGTTGTCAAGGGGACAAGTGTGAATGTGCAGATTGTGTTGGACAACCTGAATGCACAGAGCAGTGTCTCCAGAAACCAACTCAAGAAAAAAGTAGCAAGACTCCTAAAGATTACACAATAGCCATTGTGGTCGTGGTGGTCTTTTTATTAGTTGTCATAGGCCTAATCCTCGTGTGCCGTCACAAATCAAGTAGCTCAGCTTCTGTGGATGAAGATATTGGCATGGTGAAGAAACCATTGAATCCACATATTCCATTCACTCAGGAGAGTTCTAGCCCACACAACACTTTAAGCAGGGGCAAGTCTCAGGCAACAGGAATATCAATGGGTTCAGGTTCAGGTCCACCATTTTATGACAGGAATCATGTGACTGGGGCTTCATCCAGCAGTTCAACTGTCACTCAATACCCACAAGAGACTTTAAATCCACCCCCTTCACCAGTGACTGACAGGTCAGTTTATACTGCACCCATTGGTGATCACAATGTGTCGCTTAACAGCCTGTCCTCAACCGTGCAGCGCTCCGGTGTGGGCAACGGAGGAGGGAGCCGGCGGCGCATGCATCACAGGCGACATCATCATCATCACCATCATCACATTCCACCACCCCCAACAACACCATGCTCCACGGATGTCTGTGAGGACAGCGAGCCATATCATCAAACAGTGCCGCTCCACACATCCACCCCGTCAAACAATAAGTACAGCGGTCGCTCTTCTCGATCACGATCCTCTAGATCTAATGCCAAAAAATTTAAATACTATATAAATAACTCAGCAGTGGAGTTAAACTATGACTCTGACCCTTATCCACCTCCTCCTACTCCAAGAAGTCACTATTATTCTGATGTCAGCTGCCCACCATCACCGTCAACAGAGCGGAGTTATTTTAACCCATATCCTCCACCCCCATCACCTGTGGCTACCTCAGACTGCTGATATATATATAAATATATATAGTATGAAGTGGATATAATCCTAGCTTGTTCACACAGCCTAACACTTATACCTCAGGGGTGTATTTTTGTTTCTTTGTGTGTGCAGACTTTTGTCCAGAATTTTGTTTGTTCCAAGTGACCTAAAATTGGGGTTGCTTCTGTGTAATTAACTCAAGCTTTAATTTTCATTGTTGGTTTTTCATTTTGTTTTATTTATAATAAGTGTGAGGTGAAAAGTAAAATTTTAATGTTAGATTTATATATACAAAATGGCACAGGGGTTTGAATGTTGCTGGAAGGTAAATCCAAATGTGAATGAATAAAGTGATCTTGAGACATGAATGCATCAATTCCTCTTGCAGGGTTAAATGAGACAATCCAAGTATTGATCCGGTGGTGTGTGGAGGGGCAGAAAATGTACATTGAATGAAAAATGGCATTTTGTTTTTTAAAAACAAAACTTTTATTGTAGAGTGAGTGCTTTGGACAATGAACAACTTTATTTTGTGTATGTGTTTCATTCTGTGGTGGATTAAGAGCAATGGGAGGAGGCATAAAAACATTTCCCCCTTATAATTTTTTAGAACAAATAATCTTTTTTTTTTTTAAATGGGAAATCCCTCTCTATTGTTTGAATCCACCACTCTCTGATTGTTATATTATCTAATTTATTGGCATTGGACTAATCTTATCTTCAAAAGTGGAGGCTTAATGGAGTTTGTAAACTATCCATAAATCCAAGGTACGTGGTATATAATCTCTAATAATTATGTTTTTGGTTTACATTAATAAATATAATGTAATGTTACAATAAAAATATTAATTCTGAATTACCCTATTTGCTGGCATATCGGACATACTCAAAATACACCTCAAATATGGGAATGAGTCTTAATATGAGTTGAAATTTTGTGTGGTCAACAAAAGGTCTTATATGCCGCTGCATTTTATAAGCCGCAGCGTCCAATATGCCAGCTAACATGTTATGTTTCTAAAGAGGAAGGGGAGATACATTTTTTAAACAACTTTGAATCTATTTAGTTAATGAAATTCAACAAACTTTAAAGTATTTATGTGCAAAACAGAAAGGATGATCAAGCAAAATTTCATAATGATTTTCAATTTCCTGCTTTCTCTGAGCTTATCACGATTAAAAAAAAAGAAATCCTTGTCTAAATTTAAATGTAGTCATTTTAACTAAATCATCAGAGTTACCATAGAGCATTAAACACAAAGAAGATATAGTATAGCCAAACTTCATCAAACTGGAGTATGCCGAAATCTTTATCTATTATTTGTTAAATTATGTAGTTGTGACATCATGTGACTTAAACAAGTGTATTATATGTATAGTTGATGAATTTGTTACTGTGGTAATATTATTCCTATGGAATAATTGACGTGTTGTTTTGCTTTTCACTTAAGGTAACAGGTGAAGGCGCAATCATTATTGAAAAATTCATTTCATATCAATTTAAAATCAATTTTGTATCCATAAAGGGCAACCTCAAACTAAAGACACATCATGCCTGAATTACTTTTATGTACCAGACATTAAATTTGTATCTTTTTCTTGTGACTGAATTAAACTTGTTTGAGGTAATGGAACATTTCATTATCACATTTATACACAACATTGTTTTATCTTCAACATGTTAATTATAATTTGTGTTAACACAAATCTGAAACTTTCAGTGATTGTTAATAAAGGAATTCAAGCTTCATATTTCCTAATGTTTCAAGATGCCAGATTTCTCTCAGCTCCTAGATTGATTGATAAGCATTTTATGACAGATAGGTTTTTCCTAAAGATACTGAAAAAGATAGCCTCCAGACACCTTCACAAGTTCTTCATTCTTTTCTCCCTATCTAGTTGATATGAATGCACAACCATTTCATTTTCTCTTGATCCATATGAATCAAACTTGATATGAATTTAATTTTTTTTTTTTAATTGTCTCTGTATTGTCAACAGATTATACAAAGTGAACTTAACTTGTTTAGATAAAGACCTTAAGCACTTACCTTTCAGATTTTAATATAGATGCCTACTTACATAGATGATTCCCATTTGCCAAGAGACTGTATTTTGTGTGTAGAATTAAAAAAGCTATATTTTTAATCATGTATTGATACTTATACTTATAACTCATCACTATCTAAAGTGATCCTAGTTATATCTAAATTCAAGATTGTGAGAGATTTTTCTCTTGATTAACTTATGTTTTGTTTTTAATTATTTTTGTTTCTATCTTCTTACATTTACATCTATGCAAGGCATTAAATATTATAAAGAGAAACTGTATCACTGGTGCTTGGTGTGTGTTACAAAACAAGCAATAAATAAGTATGGTTATTTCTTTGCTTTTTTTTTTTTTTTTTTGCATGGAATTCATCTTTATTTTACTCTTTACTTTTGGATTTTTACATAACCTACAAATACGATAGGTCAAGTAAAGGGAAAAAAGATAGGCCAAGTAAAGGGACAAAAAAAAGGCCAAGTAAAGGGAAAAAAACAAAACAAGCAATAAATAAGTATGGTTATTTCTTTGCTTTTTTTTTTTTTTTTTTGCATGGAATTCATCTTTATTTTACTCTTTACTTATGGATATTTACATAACCTACAAATACGATAGGTCAAGTAAAGGGACAAAAGATAGGCCAAGTAAAGGGACAAAAGATAGGCCAAGTAAAGGGACAAAAGATAGGCCAAGTAAAGGGACAAAAGATAGGCCAAGAAAAGGGACAAAAGATAGGCCAAGTAAAGGGACAAAACTTTAATAACTTTTTCATAGATATATTTCTTAGTGAAAAATCTTCCCTAACCCAATGCTGTATTTATTGATACATTATTTTGTGTGCATATGTTTTTCAAGAGACCATGTGTTTGTTTTCATCAAATGATATTAGATAGTTTTCATCAAATGATATTAGATATTTGTCGTATTTAAGTTTTTTTATAATCCGCGGGTACGCGGGTCACACGTAATGTATAAGACTGATTTTGGATATTTTCTCTATGTAAATGTAATGACATGTTTGTGTGTATTTATTTTGAAATGTCACATTTATAAGCAAAAATTGGAATTATTGTAATAATTATTGTAATACAAACAAACCAAGTAAATTCCAATTTTTAAAATTAAATGTGACTAATAATACGATTCATCTAGAATAGAACAAGTTTTAATTAAACAATTTTTATTTTAAAATATACATATTTTTTTTTTAGAAATGTCCCCTTTTTATATTTTGTTATATTTTTTGTTTACATATATATATATATGAATGAATATATTTTTTACAGGAAAAAGAACTAAAATGATGCCCACAACTGGCTGAGCTGCTTATTTTGGGTGTGTTTTTTTGTGCTTTTAAATTATAGTTAGAACAGAATTCTTATTGTTATAAGGTAACATAACTAATACAAATATGCGTCTATGAGTTGGTTAGACATAGTGATTTGTTTAATTTTATTATTTTTGAGGAGTAGAAAAATGTGTGATTACTGAAAAGTGATAAAGATAAAATCATGTAATGATTTTTTTAAAGAAAAAGAAACATAAAATAATCGGTTTCTGCTGTGGCTGTTCCTGTTAGTTCTTTTTGTTACATATTTAATCATAGCCTGAACAATTTCAAGACTTATTATTTTACACCAATTTATGGATTTAGCAAGCCTCCAAATGTTGCAGTGCTACACACACTGTTTAAGAATAGATACCTTCAATATGGTAGGTGTATTGCTGTGATGAATGATCTGAGTGGCTATGATTAGTTCTATTGTTTTTAAATATTTTTTTATTTAACCATACAATTCAAGGAAACATTTATTGAATTAGAAGCTTCCGTAAGTTTCAAACATGAAATTGTTTTTTTAAGATCATCATTTTTTCATCTAATATATGTAAATAACTTTTATGGAAAAGAAATGTTGGAATATCATTATTATTGCCAAGATTATATGAATAAAAAAATCAACCAAGCAAAGTGAATTTGATTTTGTTCCTTTGATCTTTCGGTCCTCACTACATTCATGACAATAAGGTATACAAACATTATGTATAAGGTTTTAGTTATTGTTTATTTATGTACTGTCACCATTTGTTTGTAATTGTATGTACAAATGAAATGTCAAAGATGACACCAAAAATGGAAAATAATTTAAAACTGAAAACATTTTAAAAAGTGTTTTTAATTATTTGCCAATCTATTATAATTATAATTCACTATTTTTAAATATAGTTTCCTAAAATGTTCAACTTTACTTTTTAAAAATGTGCAGTTTATTTTTAAACTACATTTGACATAAGTTTAAAAAAAAAAAAATTAGATGAAAATATATTTTTAAAAAGTATGATACTTCCATCTTTGACTTAAAAAAAGATAATGATTTCTAGCATATATTAAAATGTTTCTCTATTGTTGCACTTGTGACTGAATAAGGGACACATTTTCAAAGTTGACCTCCAAACGTGCCAAATTATTTTGCCAGGTGGATAAATGCTGACGAATTACCTGCAGGGAAAAAAAATAAATCAATCAAATTGTTTCATTCAACTCATGAACTATTAAAAGTTCCTGACAGTTGTTCAGAAAACAAACCTCAGAGCCAAGTGATGTAGTTAATATATTTATAAATTTATCAACAGAAGACAATTTTCCAATGGGATATGTTCAAATTTGTGTAGCTTCCCCGTGGTTGCTGCCCACTTTTACCACTTTGGGTGGTTTTGAAACTTGATTCCAGAAAGTTAAGTAGGGCTAATTAAAAACAACCAATAATATAGTTTTAAAAATAAAATTTGTACATTTATTCTGATTAATTTCCTTCCCCTCTATTCACTGTGACATCCGATTCATGTTTACATACAAACCATGACAACCACATGATATGAAAGCAGAAATGACATGCACCAACCCATTATGCTCTTTTCGAAAATAAATATTTTTTTTCCATCATGATCTTACCCCTTACTAAAATAGCACATTGAAATGTGTACAATGTGTTTATTCTTTATTTTAAAATTAAATCAATTTTTTATTTCTAACGTGGTGATTTAACTTAAGTTTAAGCATAACATTAAGCAAAATGAAATTCTAACAAGGAAACAAAATAGACCATTTACATTTAGAACTGAAAGCTATTAAAATATATTACATTCAAAATTTAGAAAATTGCAGTTAAATTTATTCTTCTGCATCTGGTGACTATAGCAAACAAATTTTATGTAATAATAATAATAATAAATTTTATTTAAAAAAACAAGCTTCATCCCCAAAGGCTGGAAGCGCGGTACAAAGACAGTATAAAAAAAAAAAAAAAATTAGTTCTGTTGAGTCATTTCCCTCTTACCTGCCAATGATGTTTGCTGAATGTTCTAAATGTTGTTGAACTAACTATAACTTTCTCCTGGATCTGGTCTATCCTGGCCTTCACTGCTTTAGTTTTCAAAACTAAAAAAGAAAAGATTGAATACACTTCTAAGCAGGGTGATTCAACAATTCTATTCATTTTTAGTAATGTCACTGGGTAAGGCAGACCTGTTAACCCTCAAACTCCTAAAATGGCACAATATCGCCTCCAAATCTTACAATACAGTATCTTAGTAGTAAATAAATATACAGTATATATAATGTCTACAATTACTGCTAACATAGTGTACATAGTGTCTAATTGGGTCGAGTTAAGCTGGCGTCAATAAAGGTAACTTTTATAAGTAGATGACCATTGTTTATATTGCAATCTGCTGTCACTTTGTTTTGCAGAGACGTGTATTTTCTATAGATATTAATTTATATTGAGTGAACGTACGTCCAAATTAATACCCCCCCCCCCTTCCACGGGCGAGACGCCGGGTTCCCCCGCTGCCAGACCGTGCGGTGGCATGCCGGGAACCTCCCCACTGACCTGGGGGACATCCAGTGGACCAAAAACGCTGCGTTTAAAGCGTTCATGGTCCACTCTCTCTAGGGTCTGGCAGGTTTGCTTCCACTCTGGAGGAAAGGTGTTGTGTTACCACCCCACAGCGCCCAGGGAGTCTTTCGGTTGGGACGAAACCATTGCCTAGGAGCGGCTTTCTCACAGCCGTGTAGCTAAAATCATCAGAATAGGTTTTTCCCGCCACCCAAACCTCACATCCTTCAAGGCAAAAAGTAATCATGTTATGACGCTACTTCTCCATTTGCGTTGGGAGTCATGCGGTTGGCCGAGGTTTTAGCTTCGGAGTGAACGTACGACCAGAATGAAATAATTATGAGGAATCACTAAAATTGTTAATAAGGTACTATGCTGATAATACTGCAGTGTCTAGCAAGTTAATTATGAAAACACAAAAAGCAACAATATGCCCACCACCACTGTCATTACGAAATGTCATTGTGGTGTGTTAATTTTATAGACTTAAATATTGAGACCCCTTTCCTGGCACACCCATACACAAAACCTCCTAAATCAACACCACCACCTTCCCATCTCAGGGCAGACGTAATATTTGGTCCCCATCCAAATCATATTTATCAAAAAATTCTCTGCTGGATGTAGAAAGCAGGTTAAAACAACCGAAAATGTACTTTTTAATTATTATTTTTTAATAGTAAAAACAACCAGAAGGTTATTATTTGCAACTGAGTTTCTTAAAATCATAGTTGTGACAGGTCTTGGCGTACAATCGTAAAATACCCTCAAAATTGTACATAGTATGCCGAAATTGTAAGAGTAAACAGGTCTGGTAAGGGTCCCCAACCACCGTCCACTGCCTATTAGGAACTGGGCAGCATGGTGATGCATATGAATCAACACACCCCCGCCACCCCCTCTAAGGTTGAAACCTTTCTTTTATTAAATTTAAATTGAATTAGAATATATAAGAAGTTAAACTGGGACAAAACATTTTTATGAATTTTCAGGGAATTCCTATTAGCTCTACACATTACAAGTCTTTAAAAAGAAAATTGCTATCCTTATAGCTTACAAGATGAAAGCAAAAGTTGATTTAATATAAAAAAAAACCCATAACTTGTAAAAATTACCTCTTTCTATTCTGCTTCAGGTTATATAGATGTTTTGGTATAAAAACATGATTTTTAGAGTTTTCTTACAAAGGGCAATTTTATTAACCCCCCTACTCTTACCATCAATGACAAACTCCTCAACTTGATCCTTGTCTAACTGCATCTCCTCTTGTATAACGCTAAAGTCCATTTCCTTTCGGTTCTCACACATTTGCATGAATGTCAAAAGCCTCATTTTACGAAGATTCTCCTCATGTGATGGACCTTGTAAAAAAAGAAAACTTTACAAATAAAAAGTCACACAAAAAAATAAAAGGTACCAAAAAATAAATACTTTATTCAAAAATATGTCACCATGAGAATAAAAGATTGTAACTCAGTTTGACCAAATATTTTTGCACAACAGATAAAATGTATAAGTTGTTTTTACACTGACACAAGAATGGAGGACTTATGGTCAAATAAGATTATACACAAATTACAATGTCTGCATTAATTTTTCTCAAGTAGTTTGGTAAAACATTTACCCATTAGCACTTAAAATCCACATGATGCCAATCGGCGACTATCAATTTTAACATTTATATCGACACAACTCCAATTGGGCCACTTTAGACTATAAAATGAGATAAATTCCTGAATAATCTCTCCTAAGCTGCACATGCATTCTTACATGATGAGATTATCTCAAATAGATAAAAAATCACAACTTTTAATGAAAGAATTCCAATTTTTGAGTCATATATACACACCAGTCAATAGTAATTTTGTAATAAAAAAAAAAAATTAAAAAAAATAGCCTCAGGTGATAAATTTGATAGCAATTTATAAAATTCATTGATAAATTTGCAGTAGCACAGATTCCTGTATTTAAATGAACGAAGTGAAATTAATATCATCTGACTTGGCAACGTTATTGGGTTTACCGGCTTATAACCTTATTTTTCACCAAACTAACCACCTTAAATTAGCATTAACACAGTTGTATTAATATTAACATTAGCTCTTAAATCAAAGTGAAATCATTAACTATAGTTAATAGTAAACAATTTTTGTTATCCAAGTCTAAGTGAAGCTTATGATGTGGACAGGACATATATTTCTTAGTAATGCATACTACATTGCTTAACAACCAAAAGATGATTAGCATTATCTGGGGTTGTATAATTTCATCAACTTACCAAGAGAATTTATGAAATCTGTGTGATTTTTGTAAAACTGTTGATACTGCGTGAGTTTACCGGACACAAAAATGGTCAGAAGCTAAAAAATTAATAATCAATAAAAAGTGTTAAGATAAAAAATAACATATTTGAGCTGAGTCAGTTTTACAACTATATACTTAAAAAGTAATGATGCTGTATTAGTTTTAATCTTTTAAGAATATTTCTTCACTTCAATTCATAATACTACTTCTGTTCAACTTGCTTAAATTATAAATTATTCCACCTATTAACACTAGACTACCATGGAACTTTGAGAAATCAAATTTAATGACAATACTCCCATAAATAACTGAGTTATACTATTAAAGACAACACCAGCACTAGAATTCCCTAAGATAGGTGTGTCTCTGCACATGTCAGGCTTTCACTTTGACAGGTAATAGGGTAAAGCACCAATATAAATGGTCAGAAATAAATATTAAATCATTTAAAGTCACAGTTGTTCAAAGTTGAATTATGAGATTATACATGTGTGTGGGAACTTCACAGATATATTGAATGTAAGTTTTTTGGGTAGATTTAACTAGTGAAGAAAGGGGCACCAGATAAAGGCCTTAACAGTAGGATGTAGGAATAATACAAACATCATGAATAAGCTCCCCTTCCAAAAATTTGACCGGCTTTAAAGATAGCAAGTGATCCATGAGAAATGTGTTGGGATCAGCAAGGCAGGTCACTATGCATTTGTGAGCATCATCTCGAGCTTGTGATGCATTATCTTCTGTGTAGGTACCAAGCAGTTCTATCATGACCTTTGTTGCAATTTCACTAGGATTAAAAGGTAACATTGCATGCAATTAGACAATTTAATAAAACCTTAAATAACAAAGCAACCAAAAAGAAAATTCAAATAATTCACCTTTTTAGTCATTATTAACATTTAAAAAAATCATTTTATGAGACAACGTTTATGTATCTGGGTTGAAATGGTGAACTGATAAGAACCTGATCACCTTGGATGATCCAGAGTTTTATTTTGCATCACATACAAATATGTCTAGAGTAAATATTCCAAACACCTTACAAGATTATGATGCAATAAATGTAACTAGTAATTAATTTTAAAAAAGTAAAATAGCAATAATTTACATTTTTTTAAATTTCAAAAATGCAATTTCCAAAAATATTTCTTTATGAATTTTTGTATTCTTGCTGAACCTTGGCACCCCAATCCTAAATGAATTTTTCCCAAAGCGCAGATCTGGCTTGCGTGGGTAATATTTCTATTTATTTTTATTTCTTATTCCACTAAGAATTAGTTGATCAAAATAGAATTCCTTTAAATTTTATTTAACCTTGTTACAGGAATTAATTCTCTAAATTGTGCCTCTTAATGACCTTGGTTCCCTACACGTCAGATTTTGAGGCATTAAACAAAAAAATTAAAAATTAAAATGTATACTGAGCCAAACTCAGAATAAAAGAAACCATCAGATTCATATCAGTTTTAAAAATAAAAAATTTAAAACAAAGTTTTAAAATACTTTTTTTTCACCCGGTGTTGATAAGTCAGGCTTCATGTTTGTGAACAGGATATTAGAACTATTAGCAATCGGTGTTTTTAGTATTACTTTACAAAGGATTTAATAAATTAAAAGAACAAAGAGTGATTATGTATTTTTTCTGAAAAAATGTTTCTGTAATATAAAAAAAATAACAAATTCACGAGTCTGGCATTACACTATATGCTTGTAACCAACCACTAGATGGTAATGTGGAATCAATATTTTTTTTTGTAGTATGTGCATGAGAGGTCTAGATTAGAACTTGTTGAGTTTGCCTGTCTACATGTAATACAGTAATGGTTATTAAGATGTTAATCCAGTTAACAATAGGGCTTAAAAATCAGTTTTTATGCTTCAAAGTGATGAAAAGATTTTAAGTTTCTGAAGTGAAGATGTATCTGGGCTGAAATGGTGGACAGGTATGGATCTGAACACCTTGGATGTCCCAGATATTAATGTGGCATTATCTAAGCTAATCAGTTGCAAAAAATATAACAGACATATTCAAAGAGAGATTAATGCACAGAATGAAACAGTTTTTTTTACAATTCAGGGCAACAACTAAAATGATCACACAATACATTAATAGATCAAATCAATAAATTGCAATCCTTACCGCATGTTGCATGCTGTGAGTGACTCATGGAGTGTGCGGTACAACATCTGCACTTTGGCTGAGCTGATCTCCCATAAACTGATCCACCTTTTGATCTAATGAATAAGATAGTTATGGGAAACAAGATAAGAAATGACAATCCTAAGTGGATGAGTCATCTCTTATTATAACCACCCCTTACCCTTATTCCTAATGAGGTATAAACAAGGTGCAAATTTTAATCACTAAATTTGAACCTATTCATTAAATTATTTTTTTCTATTTCTTTATATAGCATTCTTAGACTGTGTGGCTTCAAATTCTCCATTAAAAAAATTAAGTACATAGAAACACACTTTTTCCAAGTCAACGGGGACCCAAGAAAGTTGATCATTTTGACCAGCCAGGCGCACCATACTGCATAACACAACATAACGCAGGCTTGCTTCTTCCTCTAATCCATAAAACAAGTTACTCAACCTGAAACAGCATTATTAATCTTAATTTAAAAAAAAAAAACATCAATTAGAATAACAAATTTTTTGTTATCATAATACTAAATAGCATGAGAGATTTACTAAACCACTACTCTGTTCTAATACATTTATTAACATTAAATTCACAATTCAAAAGAAATTTCTTACATTCTTAGCCTCAGGGGTACTCGTTTATCACCGTCTGGCAGCTTTCCCACTTTTTCACAAAATAATGTGACAACACTTTCTGCTTCTTGCACAGGCACTACCAGTAGTAGTGAAATGATGCCGTTGAAGACCATTTCGATATCTGAATCCAATTTAAATGCAAATAGTAGAGTTAGTGAGTCTCAATAAATAGAGTTGAAATAACTTTGGTAATGTCTAAAACTTTCTAGGTCACAATGGATCCCCACTCTTTTTTTCTCTCTGATTAAATGCTTCCCTGCATCATATTAAATCTTGTATTACATTGGACCCTAGATAGTGCGCTCATGGATTTATTAAAAACGCAGGATGAATGATGGCCCCTAGAAAAAATGCTGTCCAACATCATTATTTTGTAATAATAATTACATCTAGAAAATTTGTGCATTTTCCAGTATATGGATTTGCGCGAAAGTAGGAAGCAAGAGAAATTAGGGACTTTAAAACATTTTTTATTTCATTGTAAAAAAATTTAATTTAATTAGAGAAAAACAAAAATTCTTCATGTGTCATGTGCGCTGAGTATCGATTTTAAATCGCCATCAATTACAAATATTGTTTTACATTCTATAATTCAACCCTCTTCAGGCTGACCCTTTTTGGACAGTCAGTGCGAAGAAGATGGAGCTCTTTTCACATGCCCTGCACTTACTTTGCAAAATTTGTATGTAAAATAAATTAATTACGGTACTTTACAACTATAAAACTATATATATTCTTGTAGGGAATTGAAACAAACTAATATGATGCTTTATGAATCAAACTGAAATCTCAACATTTATGTCAATGAGATATCCCGATTTGCATAATTAATGCGTGAAATTTTTTTACACTTAGAATAATCATGTCTTACTTGCAGAACTTTGTTAAATTTTATGATTGTTTAAATTTAAATAAGTGCTAACTCGTATTTGAATGAGATTCAGTATGAAAAACTGCATAAAATATTTTGGCATGTTTCAAGGCACATATTTTTAAAGTGTGTTTAGGGGTCGCTGCGTAAAAAAATTGACATAAAAGGACAGGACAGAACTTCGTAAAATATTGTTGGAAGCTGCCATTAATTTGCAAGAAATGCGAGAAGCAATCTGCAGGGTTGTTAACAATACTAAAAAAAATTATTGGCAATACCAATACTACCAGTAAAATCTATTGGCAATACCAATACAATTTTAAAACCAGTATTGCAATACCAATACCAATATTTATTTATTATTGCCTTACCAATACCAATATTTGGGTCATTTGACGAATAAATCGCAAATACGTAATTCATCGCTCTATATCACTTACATCGATAAACGATAACAACATTTTGGCTAATTTAGACAATGTATTTTTAACCAAATTTTGTTCAATAGTTAATACTTGCTTCATCAGTTTTCCTCAAAGCATTCAAAAGTCTTTGACAACATATTAAATAAGTCGGCATACCTTAACGTCCTTAAGCAACAACATTTTTAATATGTATACTGTACACATATTGTGAATGAATGAATGGATGGATGGATGAATGAAAAAAATATTTTTTCTCTGTTTGGCCTTATTTTTGTTTGTAGGCCCTAGGCACGGTGCCTAAAGTGCCTAAGCCTTAATGGAGCCTTGGTAAGTCACTGGTCAATGCTCATTGCCAAAGATATCATATATGATTTGATTTCTATTATCATTCATTTCATTGATCAGTCTCATTCAAAAATTGTTTGGCAATGTCACTCGCAAGATGGCGACACCAAAGAAAAATTTATTATATTCAGCTTTATTCACAACCAATGTTGTAGAGAATTTATTGAATATTGCTTTTAGTATTGGTTAAAAATCAATACCAATATCAAAAATAATTATTGGCAATACCAATACCAATATCAAATTTCAAGAAGTATTGCAATATAGTCCCAATACTTAAAAAAGTATTGGCAATACTACCAATACCAATACAATATTGCAATATTAACAGCCCTGGCAATCTGATTAGCTGTTCAAAAGAAAAGCCAGCCAATCTTAAGGCTTTTATTATTGGGCCGATGGATCTGTCTTTTGTCTTTTTTTGCCATAACATTCCGGGCCGAAAGATCAGTCAGCCGTCTAAAGTTGATTTAGGTACGTAACAGTCAGGTGGAGATGTCACTTTAGGTTCACCGAAAAAATAAAACCGTACAAATTACAAGCTTTCAATATAACATGGATTTTGGATAATGCAGGAATTAAAAGTCTGACCTGAAAAAGTGTGTTATATTTAGGGTCTAGTTAATTTCTGTTCCCCTGTTCAACTCTAAGTAATAAACTGTGTGATTCATTTATTTTTACTGGTCACTCTTCAGCAAATGACAATAACTGAATATAAATGTCTAAATTTCATTATTCCTTTATGTTGTTGAAGCACAAAGTTGGATTAATTAAGTGAAAAAAAAATCTTCCAAGATTGTACATTGCAATATAAAAGGGGGAAAGTGAACATACTTTCATAAGGCGTTTGATAATGAATCCCCCAAAGTAATGTCACAACTGTTCTAAAAACACATTTTGCTAAGGAGTAATGTGCACAATTACTAGAAATTATATTTCTATAATTAAAATCAATCATGAATTCATTTTAACTTTAATTATATAACTTTATTTACCTGCTTCATTATTCAGATTCCAGCAAAACTTGCTTGCTTCAATAATATTCTTCAAGTCAGTTAATAAACCTGATTCTGCATTTTCTTCAGAAATTTCAGCACCTAAAGCTTTTAGAAATGTTCTCAGCTCCAGAGTCTGGAAAGTTGAATTTACACATTTACGATTTAACTTAGGCCTATCAGACACCTTTTCTCTTATTTAATAATTTAAGCAAAAAGGCGAGCATTATTTTAGTAGTACCAACTAGCTTTACCATTCATTAAATTTTTGGTTATAAACTAATAGCCTAGCTAGACCTATGCTTATGGATACAAAATTGTAGTCCCCTATCCTAGCTGGATAGTGAAATCTGAATTAGCCTAATTAAATGTGTACAAGTTTTGACAATATTTACGTCTAGCTAAGTGAAAATTATTTAATTTTTCTTGAAATTCCTTAGGCCTAATAAAAAAGGCAGTGTCTACACGTCCGGCGCGCCGGACGTCTATCTCCCGCACTATGTGTCCGGCGACCAAGTCACATGACCGCCATAACAAAGTGGCGAGAGATATCTTGTCGGTCAACCTTGTCACGTGACTGCGAATAATTCAAAACTATTGTTAATTTTAAAATCTATTTCTCTACCAAGTAATGTACTGAGTATCTTGAATGCAAATAATAGAAAAAAAAACTTAAGTGAAAGTGGCTTGTAAACATTTTTGTTTAGTTTGTTATTTTTTGTGTACCAGTAATCCATAAAATTAATTTTAAATTATTTCAATTGCTACAAAATATTTAAAAACTTCTCATGAAACTACTGTTGCTGAGGAACATGTTAATATAAATATATACAAAATATTTTAATTAAAATGGGAAGAAAAAAAACGACCCCATCCCCGGCATAGATCCTCAAACCTTCCTATCGTCAAGCAACCACTCTACCACAAGACCAGACAAGATATACTAAATCGTACTTCGTTTGGAATTATAAAAACTACTAGCCGTCCGGCCATGTCCGGCGGTCGCGTGACAAGTCGCCGGACGTGTATCTTGCGCACTACACGTCCGGCGCGCCGGACGTGTAGACACTTCGAATAAAAAAACACATTACTCACTGATAAGCCTATTCATAAAAAATAATAGCCTATTATTTTTTATTATTGAAATAGCACATTTAATCCTATAATGTAGTGATATACCATAAAGGATTTCACTTAGCGGATAGGCCTAATACTAATAAATTGTATGTATAGGACTTGAAAAATCATAATCATAAATCATTATGATTATCATATTCATAATGGCCATATCTACTAAAGGTTTTACTTCATCAATCAGGAGTTAATAAAATGAAGTGAAAACTAAAAGTGGTGCGATCTTATCTTTGTTTACCGATGACCACACCACTTGATTGATGGTCAGTCTCCAAAGGCAGGAGAAATAGTGATTAGGTTAGAGTCAGATTGAACACTTTAAAATCAAATACTTATTCATAACTATTATTATTTAGGCATCGCGGCATTTTTATGGGTCAGGAAATAATTGATCTAGAATCAAGGCCAAGGCCTTTTTCTCCTAAAAACAGAGCAAATTTAGGCTATAATTTAGGATCTAATTTAATAAATGAATAGTAATAAATATTATGATTGCCCTCAGTCTCAGTTCAGTGAACTATAGTCATTAGTATATATACATAACTACTACATGTTGTCATGTTACTATATAGAATATAGACATAGACTAATGACTAATAAAATATAGAGTATATAAATATAAATATAGGCATAGGCTTCAAAAGCACTCTTTGAGATTCTATGTAAGGCACTAACAGACAGGGCCAGGGTATTAAAGAACAAGCCCATGATGTTCAACTTAAATGTTCTTAAATCATTACTGGCATTACTGGGCGAAGGCCCGTTCAATTTTTTTTTTTTTTGGTTGATAAATTCTACCAGGGAGTTATCGAAAACAGGTTTAGTCACCGGTATCCAGCTGTTGGGTTTATACTTTATGTTTTTAAGCAATAAAATTTATGTTCATCTTTCAAACAAAACAAATAAAGTAATGAGGGGTTAAAATATATGTAATTACCTGTAGCGGAACAGCAATATCGATAAACACAGGGACATTCATTTTTAATATTTTAGTCCCTTCTGCTTCAGAATCGGAAGCGTGAGTTAAGGGACGTAACCAAACTCCCTGTCCATTAGAACAAGTTTTATATTCCCTTCCTTAGTCATGACGTTTCAGCGATACGACTAAATCTCGAGCTAAAGTATTTAGCTTTTAAGAGCAAAACACAAATTTAGTTACGTATATTAAAAATTAAAAAGTGGGGGGGGGGGGGGGGGGGGGCTATAACGCTTCGTAAGTCATTATGTTTCTTTCAAAGATATCCAGCATTTTTGTTTAATGGCTGCCCACTAAAACTATGTGATTTGAGCGTGGGGAGGTGTTGATCACCGTATTTCAATTTGGCCATGACCGCCCATGGGGAAGGTGGTAACTGAAATAGGGCCCTCTATAACAAACATGGGTACTTTTATGATTACGATTATGTTATTTTTTCTTCAGTTTGACACAAGAGCCTTGTACTAATTAGAAAACCTAACCCCTTTTAGGCATTCATAATTGCCAACTTAATAGTTACAATTTTTTTTTTTACTTATGTTTTCTTTGATTGAGTAGTGATTCTCGATAAATGGGAGAAAGGATTTCAATATTGTGAAACTGTTCCATGCCATATATTGATATTTCTACTAAGTTATAGTTAGTAGGGCTATAAATAGTATTAGGAGTGATGAATAATACTTTCAAACATAAGATTAGCATATTTATATGTTCATAGGCTATTCATGCCAATGCAGGGTTGCCAGTGGCCAACCATTCGTAAATTTACGTTTGCTTGCTTAAAACTTGTGTGTAATATGATGATTGAATACTTTTATAGCGCTTGTGTCCATGTTATTTTAGCATGCTCACGTCGTTCTGATGTCCTAAAATATTTTTAAAGAAGGGCCGTGTTGAAGAGCGCAGTTTCTGTAAGGATAGTCCTACATGTTTAGAAATCAGTTTTTGAAGATGTTCAGATGCAGAGCCTTCTATACAGCTATACACCAGAGACAGAATTTTGTTGTCAATGAAGGCCAGTGGAGATCTTCAAGAACTGGGGCAATGTAGTCAGATTTCTGTATATACTATACAATACAATGCGAAATTCAGCACTGATGAGCATACAGTAGGCTATACCATACAATAATAATGTAACGCTTATAAAAGTATAAATGGGATTATGTCCTTTGTCAGTTATGATGATATGATTATGAATATAACATCGAATCGAGTCATATGATGTTATATAGACAAAGCCATAAAGACATTTGTTAGTAAAAAAAGATCTATAATAATAGACTTGTTATTGTCATAGACGCAGAGATAGCTAAAACAAGTTTATTTTTAGATGTGTCTGGAAAAAAATTGTTCGTCAATAAAAATAAAAGGAATCTCATCTAATAATGTATTATTAAGTATTAATTCATTGTATTGATTGACTATCACGACTCTTGATTTAAGATTTAGACTATTTCAATGTATGTTTAAATTTTATTTTCTTGGATTGGAAAACTTCTTTTGCATAAAATAAGTATTTTTCACCCTTTGAAAGCAGTAATTTTGCAATTTATGAGCATTGTTTTAAAAAATCAAGAAGACTAGTTATTTATTTAATTTAAAGCAATTCATTCGTTTAAACAACAGTTTTATAATTTGAATTTTAAAAATATTTTGTAATTATTTTTCTTGTTTCTAAAAACCAGAGAGTGATAAATTTATCCAAGTATTGTTGACAATGGAAACAGGATTCTGAGTCAATTTACTTACAGTAACAGTAACAAAAAAGTAATAGATACAGCTTACAAACAGTTATACTCTTACATCTTCACTCACTTTTTATTCCTCAAGCAAATGGAATATATTTTGATTAGAAGACTTCATTTAATGATTTTTTTTACGGCGCGCCCTATTTTAAAAACTAAAACTAAAACGCATGGACGGCATGGTAACAGATAAATAACAATGAATGGTCTGCAAAATAGTTAGAAATTAGATTTAAAATATGTTATTGAGATAAATTCAGATAACGTGTAGGCCAATATTAGTCTTCAGACGTCTCCATCACTCCATGATCATGGATATTTTTATATGATAGATAAGATAAACTATTTAAACACTCGAACTTTAATTTAATAAAAAAAGGGGGCGGGGAAAGCTCAGCCCAATATGGATAATTGTAGCTTCCAAGGCTTAATTTGTTATTGTGGTGATGCACATTCAAAATAAAAGAGACACTTCCTGTTAACTCTCTTTTGCAGACAACTAAAAATTGCAGCTTAATGACTTATTAATGTTTCAAAATATATCTAATAAATATCTGTAACTGGCTTGCCCAGTACTCGTATTTAAAATGATGTCGCATTAGGGACATTTAGGGTTCAGGTTAGGTATGGTGATAGATTTTAGGGTTGAAAGGTTTTTGGGGCAAAATATTTAATTAAATTTGTAGGCTTTTGATAATTTTTCACTGCTCTACCCATCACGAAATATAGTAGGAGCGTGTGTGGCCCTACTCATCACCTGCCTAATTTAAATGCTATTGAAGATTCTATTGCATCATATTCTTTAAACCTATTCCTTTGTCTGTTAACCTCATTGTAGCCCAAGTATAAAAAAATATCGGTATCCAAAATTTCATCATTAACATTTTAATTAGGATCATCCATCTCAGGAAGGATAGACTTGAACTACTGTGTAATCCAAAACTTCAAGCCCATCATTGACCATCAAAACTGCAGTTGACTTAGTGAGGGAATAAAATAATGGTATGGCCATTGATTTGATTGAAAAATAATTGATGGATGTAATTTTATAAAATATATAGTTGATATAGAGTAAGCAGTGGTTGATTCAGTTGAGGCATACAAAGAGCTGATGTTTTGAGATTTTAAAACAATATTTTAAAATTATTTCCAAATGAAAGTGGTGTCAAATATACACTATCCAGTATATGGCCCAACAACTAATTAATTGGTTTGGCCACTTGGTCAGAATGCCTGTCAACCAACCTGCATTGCAAGCAAATAATAACAGGGGAAGACCATGCCATTGGAGGATTGAATGTTTTATGGACACCCTAAAAACCACAACATTAACCTCCAGCAGGCTTCACACTTTGTGGCAATCTGTCAACCGTACCTCCCCAGTAAAAGTTACTGAAGAAGTTTTGTATTCTATCTATCATTTTACCGGGTATTACAATAATTTTATATGAGTAATAATATTAGCAAAGCTTATTAAGACGAACCTTGCACAGTGTCATTAAATTTTAAAGGTGTTATATTCATTTTTTAATGTCCGACACCAATCTTATTTTCAGATTTCTTGTTTGATATACTGCATACCTCTCAGTTCAATTTACCTACAAAATTGCATTAAGTCAGGTCCAGTTTTTACAGTTTCATATTTTATTTGTGAAAATATTTTAATACCAATATAATAGGTAAAACAATTTTATATGGTATGTAAAAAGTAATCGTTTTGCTTTTCAGGTTTACTGGTAGGTATGAATGAGCACCTTACTTCTCTACAAAAATTTAAACTTACATAGATAATGTAATTATGAAAAATATTTTTAGAGGGTTTTATTTAAATGTATGGCTTATGTAACATTTACTTTTTCATTGATCAACCGCTGAGTGAAAAAATATTTAATTGTTTTAAGTTGGATAAACCTTTAATTAAGGCTTTGTATTTTTAGCTTTTTCATAATTTTCATTCTTTTTTTACATTATTATATACATTTTTTAATATGAAAAAAAACTTTTCAAAAAGTATAATTTTTTATCATAATTTTTTTAGATGTCCATTTACACAAATGTTTATCATTGTATTGTTAACAGCCTTCAGTATTTCCTGGGTGACCACTCTCGATATATACTTAAAAAATAAAATAAATGTTACATTTTTAGAATCGCAGACCAGTTGGTGGTGATGACAGTGGTGATTCTGAGTCAGACTGGGATACAACAGTAACAGAGTCACCCACCCATCAAGGGCCTTCAAAACCTTTTGGTCAAACTCTTGGTGGTGCCAAACATGACTATGAAGGAGATTACGCCACCATTTTGCCTAAACCTCGTAAAAGTAAAAAAGGTAGGAAAACCACCAGACTCCCCACCCCCAAAACCACCCCTTAAAACCCCACACCCTTAAAACAGTGTTACATTTTTTTTCTCTAATATTCATGTCTTTCTATTTCAAGCCTTAAAATGTCTTTCTTTCTTTTTCAAGTCTGAAAATGACTTATTCAACTATTTCATTTTTTTCTAAGCAGTTTTTTAAAAAACAATAGTAAATAAAGTCCATGAATTTTTTTATTTCCAACACAAATCTTAAACCTTTAGATGATCCTGCAATATCAAATGAAAAATCTTCAAGTGAAGATAGCATCAAAGGGCATACAAATGCAGCGACTGTTGGCTCTAGTTCTAGGCAGTAAGTTAGAAAAATTAAAAGCTCTTTGTGTTTATTTTTTTTGGGGTCTCAATCATAGTTAAAATTTTTTGTAATTTTCAACCCCATGAGAACCAATAAAATGTATTTCCTACCACTTAAAATCAATACAATATCAAGACTATGAACAATTGAATATCTCCATATATTCCTTATCACTTAAAGTCAATAAAATATCAAGACTATGAAGAATGCAATATGTCCATATATTCCATATCACTTAAAATCAATACAATATCAAGACTATGAACAACGTAATATGTCCATTTTCCTCCTAAGATTCTTTTCAATGGAAATCAATTTTTCTACTGAGCTAATAGTACTGAATTTTTTCCCCTCCAAAATATATCCTCATTCCTTTTGCAACATATATTAAGCAAATCAAAAAAAAAATTAAATAATTTGGATGATCTGATAGAGCTTGCCTGAGTGTAATATCCTAAAATAATTTACAAAAAAAACGAAAAAGAATATAAAAATAAGTACTCTGGTTAGAATAGTAACTCTTAAACATAGTAACATATACATTAGAAACTTTAAAACATCCCAACACATAGTTTAAGTTGATAAATGAGGTCAAATGTTTACAAAGTAATGGGTCTAGAGTGTTTGAGCCCCATGGGAACATGTACAATCAGTTGCTGTCATAGGACAGTTTTGTTTGGGAAAACCATTTGGAAGTTGTCAACACCT